AAGATGTACCAGCGGGCGCTGCAAGGCAAAGAGAAGGCATGGGGACCAGAGCACACATCAACACTTAACACGGTCAACAACTTGGGCAATCTCTACGCAGGTCTAGGACGGCTTGGCGAGGCAGAGAAGATGTACCAGCGGGCGCTGCAAGGTAAAGAAAAGGCAGGAGTTCCAGAACATTCTATTCTTAAAGAGCTTAACAACTTAGGCATTCTCTACAAGAACCTAGGGCGGCTTAATGAGGCGGAGAAGATGTACCAGCGGGCGCTGCAAGGCTACGAGAAGGCATGGGGACCAGAGCACACATCAACACTTAACACGGTTAACAACTTGGGCCTTCTCTACGCAGACCTAGGACGGCATAATGAGGCGGAGAAGATGTACCATCGAGCACTTAATGGATTTGAGAAACGCCTGGGCTATGAACACGAGCGGTGTCGCAGGCTACGTCGTGTTCTTGCTGCTTTAGAGAGATCGTTATAACAAAGTAAATAGATCCTAGAGTGCTAATCTTATAGCTATTTATTGTTCCAAAGCAGACAGAGATTACGCTGTATACATAGCGTACAGTATATTAATTACTAATTGTCTATGCCGCTCTAGGCTGTTATAAAGTTAGATTCTACGCACCATAGTACGTGAAAATTGCGAGTGCCCCTAAGGCGCTAAGGCCACAACTTTCAACACGGGACATTCTCCCATACAATTCATCATACAACGTCTACAAGCCCAAATCCATCACGTTTTGATCAGAATAACGAAATGTGTAGTCGCCTGAACTGCCCAGCGAGGTAAAATCACGATAATTCTTGGTGTTGCAGTGCTGATCGCTCGATAGGGGCCTAAAACCCCCCTCGAAGCCCCACAGAAGCACAAGCATAAGGCAGGCACATAGCTACATACATAGAATTCGATACATCATCACTATAAGGCTGATCTAATGCGCTCTCCACCTGTTTTTCGCAGCTGTTCACATCGCCACGGCATCTCAGCAATGCGGCGCCGCACCTCAATCATGCCTTGTTGTGATTCTGATATCATCGCCCATTCCTCCAGCGCTATTGCCTTGAGCTCTTCTAGGGTTTTCCACTCGTTAAAGCGCTTCCGTAGACGTTGTTTAAAGATATCCCAAACGCCCTCAATTGGGTTAAGATCTGGTGATTGTGCTGGGTGTTTAAGAAGCCGTATACCGTGCCTCTCTTTGAGCGAGCGAGCAACGGTTACCTCTGACCTTGTGCCGTGCGCATTATCGTTGTCCTCTTGGAGCATGCATTTGCCATGGTATTGGGGCTGATCTGGGTCCTGATTGTGCTCCTCTAGACGCGCAATACACCCAGGAAGAATCTTCTTAGTGTAGTAGGCTTAGGTCATAGAATTCCCCTTTGCCTTCGCATCCACGCCGTGTGGCAGCGCTGCCTCCCATTCCTTCACTCTTTGTAGGTATTGCTCCTCAGTCTCTCGTGTAGGACGGTGGCGTGGCTTTTGTGGCCTTTTTTCAACGTTAAGGTGGTCGTTTTCGTCGTTGTAGAATACTAGACGCCCGATATAATGCCATAATACATCGGTTGCCACATATAGGCGCATATTAGTATCTTTGGTGCCAAAATGCCGTCGATTCTCCGTATTATATCGCGTTCCCTCCCTCCTGTAGACGTAGCCTACGCTTTGTTAATACGGATCAATGTGCGCTTCATCCGTGAAGTGTACAAACTGCCAAAAGCTATCAACTGTATCATCTTTATGCTGCCAGCCGTAGCCCTCTTGGAGCAAGCATATTCCTATGAGAAATATCCGAGACAGCTGCCATCTTAAAGCGCTTAAATTTCGATTCCTTGTTATACTTCTGCAGCGTACGAACCGTGGCGTAGATGCCAAAGTGCTGCATCTAGACATCAAACGGTGCTCTGCGGATTGGGATTGTTGTCGCTTTGTATGACAGCAAGCTGCTCATCTGTAATCACCCGAAGGCTCTGGCCATTGTGATGCTTTCCTGGCCGGTACTCTGCATCCTTGTCCTTCTCTCTGCGCTGCCTAAGCATGTTCTTGCACGTTCTGAACAAGCCTGTGAAGTTGATCCTTCTGGCCGCATCTTGGATGCCTTCCCCTGGGTTTTCTAAGGTCATATGCATTGAAAAATCGCGTGCGAGTATGCGTAGAGAATCCATGGCGACTTGTCTTGCGCTTAGGAGTTGTTGGAGCCATTAATTTAATAGTAATTTGTTTGATAGAATTGTGATGATTTTGGTCAAATTGATGAGCGCCAAGCGTCTCGTTGCCTTGGCGCCTTAGGGGCACTCGCAATCTTCACCCACTGTGGCACTAAGATGTGCTGTGCTAAAGCTTAGTATTAACGATTTGTTGCACGCGTACCGACAGGTTAACGCTATGCCAAATATGTTAGGTAGGGTATTATAATCCCTGCTTGCAGTGTGGCGCAAACTTTGTTGCCGACTGCGTTTAAAGGGAAGCCGGTTTCGCTAAGGACTGTACATCTCGTTTGAAACTTGATAATCTAACGAAGGACTCCAGACAGTGACGGAGAAGTACCTACAAACGGATTACTTTATGCTGATTTAGGGTCTTGCTCATTGTTGTTGATGTCTTCGTAGCAAACTCAATACTGGTCGTTCAGTGATAACATGCAACCGAATTTGGTAATAAAGCAATAGAAAATCTAGAGTTATAGGAGGCCTTTAAGGCACTGTGGGCATGTTCTAGAAGAGAGCTTGTTCCGCGGTCAGTACAATGTTCTGCAAGTCATGGCTGGCTTAAAATGTTCTGCAAGATCATTTTCCACACAGAGTTTTCGAGCCTACCACGGTACCTCTCTTGACTCACGAAAATCCTCTCACAGAACCACTGGTTCCCCTAAGAGTCACATAACGTGAGCTAAGCTCGGAGCCTACTCGCCAGAGTATAAAAGAAAGTGCTCCCTCTCTCACTCTCCTCTTCTTTTCTTCGCCGCAAGGCACCACCATTCGCAATGAAGCTGGTCTTGCGGACTCGCCAGAATCCAGTGGGTGACCGGGAATGAGAGACCCTACTTGTAGCGTCCTGGCAGGCAATGGTCAGTATGTGTGTAGGTGATTAGCTGGAACGGGTGCTGGTGTCCGCGAGGCCCAGTGTGGTGTCCGTGCAAGGGTTGATGTCCTACATCCAGTGGGAAGATAGGCCCGAGTGTATCGACTGCGAAGCTTTTGTCTCATCTCTTGGAACAGTCAGTTTCCCAGACCTCCCGGTAGGTGTTAATGCTGCTTTCTAGGCTTGACGTTAAAAATCTGGGCGATGCGTAGATTCGTTACCAACTTCAACTACCGATTTACCAGACACCTTAGGGTTGTACTGGGTTTTTTACAGCACGTGGAACGACTTTCGTACACGTAGACACACAAACCACTTTTTCTTTTTCTTTTTTTTTTTTTACAGCGCGTGGAACGACTTTCGTACACGTAGCCACACAGGCCACTTTCCTCCAGACCAGCCACAATGCGCAGTAAGCTTTGCTTCTGGCGCAAGAAGCAGTGCCCTCTCGGTTCCTTGCCTGCTTCATCTAAATGTACGTTTTCCTTTTCTTCTTCTTCTTCAAGTCCCCCGAGTGGGCCAGGCCCTGTCACAGCCTGTTCACTTGAAACCACGCCCTCCCCCCCTTCTTCAAGTCCCCCGAGTGGGCCGGGCCCTGTCACAGCCCGAGAGTATCGGCGGAAGTTGGAAGGGGACGAAGAGCTGTATTACGTGTGGAGCGAGAGCCCGCTCGTGAAGGAGCTCGAGGCCGTGGCGGCGGCGGAGGCGGCGGCGGCAGCGGAGGCGGCAGCGGCAGAGGTGGCGAGGGCGGCGATGAGGGCAGCGTGGGAGGCAGACGAGGCGTTGCATAGGGAGAAGATGGAGAGCGACGTGGAGTATCGGCGGGAGTGGGAGGCCAAGAGGGAGAGGCACCGGACGACGCGGGGGCAGGGCGGCATTGGAACGGGACCGGGGATGGCTTGTCGGAGGGACAAGGAGTGGGCGAGGGAATGGGACGAGAGGATGGCGAGAAAGCGGCTAGCAATGGATCTTGCTAATGCTTCCTAAAAACTTGCCTTTGAGTGAATTGTCGTGATGCTTCTGTGACTGATTTTGGATTTTGTGACTATCTTTTACTGTGTGTGTGTGTGTGTGTGTGTGTGTGTGTGGGGGGGGGGGGGGGGGTGGGTGACGAGGCGATGACTTCGGTACCATGTTTAGCTCTGTGTGTAGAGAGCGCTCGAAGGTGATGTCCTCACATATGTGGCTTGTAAGTGAACAACAAGGCTGTCGGTTGATTGGGGTAGAGGGGGTTGGGCACACACGTAGGTTGTAAACACCAAGTGGGGTGGAGACAAGGAGTGCTCTCCGTGGCTAAATGTTGGAAATACAGGTAGCTCCAGACCCCTCAGCGTACCTACGAAATGACCGTTCTTCAGTCTTGATACAACAGAATCGGTGAAACTCACATAAAAAGCTATCTCAGCCTCCTCCCCCATCAATCCTGATCACTGCTTGCCGATGTCACGGCCATGCCAGCATTCTGACCAGATTGCAGACATGATGTCAAAAGCTAGAGCACCTAAATCAGAACACCTCGAATTCCATCACTCTGACACCTTCCTGACGCCGTCTGAAGGGCTCCCATATACCACGAGAGATCCAGACACGATGTCAAACCCCAAAGCATCCAAATCAGAACACCTCGAATTCCATAATCTTGACACCTTCCTAACACCGTCTGAAGGGCCCCCATATACCACGAGCCATCCAGACGCGATGTTAGAAGCCCGGGGATGTAAATGAGCCCGCCTACTTCGCAGAAGGCGGGGGCCGATGCGTATGCCTCGGGCACGTGAATCGGACGGGGTTCGAACGGATAGAAAACCGCTCTGGTAGTGGTCTCAAGCGTGCTCCAGAGCGCTGCTAGCAATAGGCGTACAATGTAGAATGCGCGAGGATGGGAATCGGACGGGGTTCGAACGAATAGGTAAACACTTTGGTAATGGGGCCTTGCTTGCTTCAAAGAAAGATGGTAGAGCTGGGTGAGATGTGGAGAGCGCGGGTACGTAGATTGGACTAGAGTCAGACGGTAGGAAAAGGAACTTGATGACGGTGTCTGACTTGCGTCAGTGACCTCACCAAAGCGCAGGAGGATGTAGAGATCTTGGGGGTGGAGATCAGGAAATGTGATCAGAGCTGGAAATAGACATGACGGCAATGGAAGGAGGGCTTCAGCATGCTACGAGGATTGCGAGCTGGTATAAACTTCTCCGACATGGAAATCAGACACAGGTTCAGAACACTAGAAACACTCATGCTGACGGTGTCAAAGGTTCCTCAAACACACACCGCAGAACGGCAACCGCTTGGAAAATTAACCCGATTATAGAGAATACTCAATCTACCTACCAACGCCACGCTGTGGCCCAGACACGACCGATGCCTCAGCACAACGCAGATCCATCCAATTTCATGCCTATTACACAGCCTCTTCTCCCCTGGGCGTTTCTCCGTCCTTCGCCCCATCCAGCCCACCTCCCAATACCGCGCTCTGCTTCCTAACATTCTCATCCGCACTCTCCGCAGCCCATCCTTCGGTCCCGACATAACTCCCCCTGCCCACCCCAATGAACCACGCACGATCCCGACTCCGCGCGCCCCAACTCCACCCGGCGCCCTGCCGGATGGGCAGGTGATACCAGCGGAAGCTGAAGTAGGCGCAGATGATCCCAATCGCCGACCCAAACAAGATATCGAATCCGTGATGGCGAAAATCAGAGAAGCGGGTGCTGGAGATATAGATGGCAGCGCAGATAGGTATCAACGCGAGGACAAGAACGTAAACAGGGGGAGCTGCGGCTTGGTTGCGGATGGGGACGATATGCTGGTTCTGTACAAGTGTTTGTGAAGGGAAGGTGTCTTCGGACCGCGGCTTCTTGGAGCTAGAACTGTTGCTGCCGTCTGTGTTTTCGCGGGAGTGGTAGGCGGGGAGGGCGGTTTTGGAGGCGGAGAGGTTGGTGTAGGTGGGGTCTTGGGAGTAGGGACGGGGAGGGAGGAAGGGGATGGCAATGGCGAACTTGGAGCAGAGGAAGAGGGTTAGGTAGAGGAGGCCGGCCCAGGAGACTAGATATACGATTAGCACGGTTGGAAGAGTCATAATTGAGGATTCAAGCTTACAGGATGAGTGGCCGCTGGGAAAGCTGCGGAATCCATCGTCTAGGATACTTTTGTCTGTCTGTTGGCAGATGCTAGAGCTGACGAGGACCCAGAGAGGGGAGAGATCCATTCCGTCGCCACCTAGGCGGTCTGCGGATACCTGGGATACTTTCGGATTGCATCGAGAGAGGAGGTCAGGGCGAGGTTTTCCGAAGAGGTTCTTCATGCCCTCTGTGATCATGAAAGCCGTAGCAAGGGAGAGCGCGAGGCCCATCCAGCCGGCTGAACACATATTAGCATTCGTTTATTGAAAGCTGTAGATGGTAGCCCCTCCAGAAATAGGGGTATCCAAACAGAGCGGTCAACTCACTGTTCCATTCCCAAAACTTCCTCCGCCATACAAGGGCCTTTGGCGTGCCTCTGCTAACTGCCCGACCAGGAACGAATATCAAGCAAACGAGGAACACTATGATGGCGGGTATGACAAGTCCAACAACGATGAGCAACCATGTCGGGATCTTCTCTTTGTGTACGTAGGGGAGGGATATGGAGAGGTCGAGTAGGGAAAATGGTCGATGATTCGGGGATATAGAGTTGAAGCCGCCTCCGACACCTGCAATCGCACTGCGCTGTGTTAGTCTGAGATAATTCTAAGGTAAGATATTGAAGCTAGTGTCATTAAAGGAGGATTTGTGGTGATACTTTGTGTTCTTGACATGGCCCATTCACGACTCGGAAGTATCGGTACAACTCACATTATAACAATCCAATCGAAGATATAACTCGCAATGATCCGTTTCGACGGCAGAATACTATTCATGGTCTTCATACTGCCGTTGATTTTGCTAGCACCAAGAGGCTGCAACAACCTGGGTATGTGTCGCGTGCTCAGGCACCTTGGAAAAAGGGTTTGGATTTACAAGAAAGCGTAAGGGGCAAAGTAAGACCAGAGATGAAGTTCGCACGCGACAGTCGGCAGCCGGCGGCTCGTGAAGTACCCCAAAAGGCTGGGCAATCGTCTCAAAAGGCTTGGAATCTTCTTGGAGGTCTGCACAACGAAAACGGCTGCACTGCGCCTCCTTTATTGTTTCGGCTGGCGCCCACTCGAAAATCTCACGAGCGCCTGCACACCTGCTTCTCGAAACAATATCGACGCGTCGGAATCGCTGTGTCAGCGTCAGCGATTTGGGTAATTGAGCAGATGGCACCCGACGTGGATACGAGAGGCGGAGCAGCACCAGCGATACGCGCCCTTGGCCCAAGCGGTGCGTTGCGGGTTCGAGGCGGCGAGTGGCGAGTTAGGAGAAAGTCACGATTGGCTGGGACGACGAATGCAGACCGGCCAAGAGACCTCCACGTCAGCTTCCCAGCAGATCGCCGACTAGGAAAGAGCCCGAGAATCCCGCTGAAGCTGAGATCGGCCTCGCCTTGGCACCCGCTTCGGCATCCCGAAAGCCACCTGGCCGAATATCAGACGAAACCTAGCTGACGACACTACACGCCTCAAGCCTCACACCCCGTCCCTCAACGCGCGGCTCAACACCGACCATGGCTCGCGCACCACCCTCCATCGACCTCCTCCTCAACCTCGTCCCCGACCGCCCCTCCTCCGTCCTCAACAGCCTCTACTCCTACCCCAACCTCGCCTCATCCGCCGACGCCCATGGCTACTCCCTCCTGCACGCCGCCTCTTCGTACGGCCACATGGAGCTCCTCCGCGCGCTTATCCAACGATATAATGTAGATCCGAACATCCTCGATGAAGACGGCGAGACGGCGCTCTTCGTCGCTGAGACTGTTGAGGTCGCGCAAACTCTGGTCCAGCTCGGGACGCACGTGGAGCTGCGGAATAGCGAGGGGAAGACGGCGCAGGAGAAGATGGTGGAGGAGGGGGAGTTTGCGGAGGTTGCGGTGTTTCTGGGTGGACTTGTGGATGGAACCGCTGCTGAACAAGCAACGACGACAGCGAGTGCAGGCGAGGAAGACGTGCATGCGCCACCGCCATTGCCGCGGGGGGTCCAGATTAATCTTGGGACCATGGCGGCGGGAGAGGAGGAGGAGGCGCCGGATCCGGAGTTCAGGAGAAAGATTGAGGAGTTGGCTGCCAGTGAGGACTTCCAGGGCGAGGAGGGGCAGAGACGATTGAGGGAGTTGGTTACGGAGGCTGTGACCGGAATAAGTGCCGAGGGAGAAGAGCGGCAGGTTAGGAGGAGAGTGGAGTGACGAGGTGGGATGTGGACACTTCAAGATCTGAGCAACGGCTTGCAGTACCCGTCTGAAGATCTGCACGTAGACATCAGAACATCTTCGACCACGATCCGGAACTTCGTAGGTTTTCCTGCCTCCACGGGTGCTAGATTGGGGGAGGTTGGATGCGAAAATGTGCGGTAGATTTGGAAAAGCCCTGCTCCAAGGTTTGGGATCTGCTATAACCTTTACAAAGGTCAATTGAGGGAATTTCCAATCGCCAACATGTAGGTAGGTAGCATGATATGTCCTGATAGATGTTCCGCGGCTCATCACATCGTAGAGCTCTTCCAAAAGAAGCCTCGAAAGATCCTGACTTGTTAGGCGAAATAAAAACGTAAGTGGATGGGTTCTACTTAGTGCTATGCAAGCGGGATGAAGGGGCGATCTAAAGAGGAATTCTGCAGGGCGCTCTCTTCAGACTTCATACTGTAGTTGCATAAGCTACAGTGCCTTGCAATAGATATCCGTACACATTCCTGCCACTGTGGGGCTTACGTACTAATAGAAACCGAGAGCAGCGGATGCACCTCCAATCTGTTTACACGTTGTTGACACTGTGGGGTGGCCTTGCGAGTTTACTAGCTGTCCAAATGCCGAACTGCTCTCTTATTTGGAATGCTGAAAATACTCTGAAGCTCCTCACCCTGCGGTAAACGAGTGTATGGATTCCTATGACAAGGCATTAAGTCGTTAAAAACATCAAGACGAGCAACAGATTGATGATACGTGTATCTCTTGGGAAACAACGTGAGTGTTCTCGGTCCAGGACCAGTGATGGATTCAGAGCCCTAGCCGTATTGGCAAGCACATCGCATATAGGTACACGAGGCAAGAAAATCATTTTCATTTAGTCTATCTACTAAGGGGGTAGACCCCGCTGACGATTATAATCGATAGCAAGATCCCAAGCACCTCCATGCCCAATTATACCCCTAAGTTCAGATATCGCTATGCTTCACACGAAACGCCGCCAACATGCCAAGGCGTTGAGATTCTATGCATACATCTGTACGGAGCCTATTCCTCCCGCTTGATACGACCGTCGTCACGTCCACCCGCGCGCTCGAATGTACCGCGTGCGCTCTTGTTTGCATCGAACAGCTCGCCTCGGACAGGCAAAGCCTTCGGAGCCCGGGGTGTATAGAAGTCCCCTCGGAAGGACTCCCTGAAAGGCGCCCTCTCTGGGCCTAAGTTGCGGCCTCGCGGGGACTCCTCAGCAGGTCTACGCTTCAGCCTGCCATAGTACTCGTCTTCTTCTTCAACGGGACGCTTGCGAGCCTGGAAAAAGGTGGGAGGTGTCGATGGCGACGCGTTGGGTCCACCATCCTGTCCAACTCGGAGAATGCCAGCATAGGACTGGAGCATCCATTCTCCAACGGAAATCAGGAGGTCAATTCCCTCCGTGTTCGGTTGGTGTGGAGGCCCAGGGCTGCCATCGCGGGCCCGTCGTAGTTCCCCTATAGCAGTGTTGACGGAGTTCTCCAGCCTGTCGTCACCGACAGTGGTAGCCCTCTGCAGGCGCTGTCGCCAGTAGACCATTTTGTTTTCCAAGTCCTGCGAGTAGAGTTAGCTCGATTTGCGATAGCGAGAGCCTATTGGCGCAGTCGAACCTGACATGCGGCTACGCAGTTGCGAAATTTGTGGACGACCTCCCGAGGGAGTTCCGTAACGTCACCGAGAGCTCCAAGGACCGCGGCCATCTGTTGCTGCAGCACCTCGACCTTGGCACTAGAGCGTAAATGGTTGACCACATTCATACGCTCACGCTGCCCGACTGCAAGGAGATGTCCCTTAAGTGCAAAGTAGTCTCTCTTGCGGAGACCCTCCAAGTTCTGGTAGCGCGAGTTAATATTGGTGAGAGTCTGCTGGATGGGGCCCGGAATCTCCCTGTCTCCTCCGACCTTGTCGGTCTTTTCAGGCGCCTTGGCGGAAGCCTTTTTCGGCTCTGTGGGCACCTGCTGAGGGCGGGCATTTTCATGGACATGAGGACGCAGGGCCAGGGCCAACGAGCGCGGCTTGGGACAGGTAGGTATGTCCACATCCATCTTGTCAGCCCCATCGGGCTTCTCATTCTCCTTCTGTTTCTCCTTTCCATTTTGGGTAGCCTTGCCCATCACGGTGGCGAGATCGGTGCAAATCTGGGCCTGGTTGGTCTGGAGGTGACGGACAGACGCGGACAGGATCCTGACCGTGGTGTCAGGATGCTTAGACGCCGTCTCGCTCTCTAAGTGAGCCTGGGCATCCAAGGCGGTTGTGCCTTCGCGCATCTCCGCGAGATCCTTCACGAGCTTGCCCTGGGTCTCGGCGATCTTCCGCATCTGCTCGCCCTGCGCATCCAGCGTAGCAGCCAGTCCATCTTGTACGTCTGCGATACGCCGAATGGCGTCTACAAGGGGAGTAAGCTGATTGGAGGCGGGGAGGGAAACGTCGCTGTGCAGGATCCAGTTGTGCGCGGGTTCGCCCTGGGGTTGGGCGTCGGCGGCGGAGCTCATCTCGTTGATGAGGTCGTCGATTGCCTGCTCTGTAGCGGTGGACGCCTGTGCCAGTCAGCTTGAAGGCGACATTACTTAGAAATGGAGTCTTACCATGGTGCTGTGGGTGAGTGGAGATTGGTGGTGTTCTCGCGACCAGCCCGGGTGTTGTTGTGGTGCAGGTGTTGACGGGAGGTAAGACTTTAAATGCACCTTCTGCATGAAGCCGTCGCCTCACCGCAACGCTGTACCGCAGACTAGACGGCACTACTTCTCGTGAATGGCGAGACCATGTTTTCCAATTTCTTATACTCTGTTGGAGGGCTCATCTATGATTCGGGCTTGTAGCTTTCAATATGTGTTATTCACTGAAGATCCAACACCTAAGGACATGAACTCATACAGTACTACGACATAAATTTTTGCACTCTGTTGCAACTAGCTTTAAATTTGCTTCCAGAGTGCCCATGAGACACTTGGACACCCCGCACAAAACAGAAGGATGTAGCAGGTCGGTGAGAAGGGTGTGGGACCGCTCTGGTTTACGTTGTCTTGCCTTTCACATCCTATTTGAATTCCTGATAATGTAATGAAGGACCTCAGACAGTGACGAGCGCGAATGCACAGACTTTCGTCCAGGCACTGTATCTACACACTTTCCCAAGCTCTGTAGGTAACGGGCTCCACTCTTGCTTTCAAATTCCTCCATCTGGACACCTCACCTGCGAGCCTCGTGACGTCAACTCACCTTCAAATGTTGCCTAGGCGAGTCAACAGAGCTTCTCCAGCCCCACTCCAACATTCAATGCTTCCTTTTCATCGACTGTCGAGCTCGTGGGCGCTTTAGCTAAAGCTCTCACGGCATCATGGTCACCAAACTCGCAGAAGCGGTAGCTACCAACATGCCGAACCAAACGGAGGCGTTGCTAGTGGGCCTACCCGAATCTGCTGCCAAAGCTGTCCTCATCAGAACCAAGTCTGAAGAGAAGGACTGGCTCGAATCAAAATTCTGTGGAGCGACGCAGCAGCCATCGCTAACATACTCTGAAAACGAGGAGGAAGATGAACTCGTGGCACTTCAACGGCAGATGATGCAGCTCAACCAAAAGGCCCAGCAACGCTTCCAGCAAGATTCACTCAAGAAGAGGAAGAGTGTCCTGGAAGCGGTCCAAGCAGCAACAAAGCGCCATGAGAGTGCCCAACACCGTCGCCAAGAGCATGGACTCTTCCAAGAGCACCTGGAATCATCAGAAGTTGAGCAAGATTTGCTGGCCGACTCAGTGCACATTGGCTTTCCCGAGGTTGAGCCCAAGAAGTCATTGATAGTGGTGAGTCCATATCTAAATCTTTCCAACTATAATACGGTGCCAATAACGTAGAAACTCAAACTACCAGTGGAGTTCAACCCGAGCAGCAACGCCCAGACTTCCGCAAGCAAGACCAAAGTGGAATCGGTTTCAAACAAGCTTGTAAGCACTCTATTGGTTAACATATACGGCATTTACTGATATTGACGTAGAAACTCAAACTACCAGTGAAGTTCAACCCGAGCAGGAACGGCCAGACTTCCACAAGCAAGGCTAAAGATGAATCAGTTCCCAACAAGCTTGTAAGCACTCTTTGGGTTGAAAACATGACGCTTGCTAATGTTGACGTAGAAGAAGCTCGAATTCTTGGAGAAATGGAGGTGCCGTTTGGATCTCTGTAAACACACAATCAGCCTTGGTGACAAGTTAAACCAGATGAGTTTTGCTATCCAAGACTCTTTCGAAGATGGACCCGCTACGGAGGAAGTGGAGGCGAAGTTGTACAACCATTTTGAGCGCTGCAAGAAGGAGTTGCTTTGCGCCGCAGCTGTCACTCGGCTCAGTGGCATCCTCCGAGGGCTTTGAGTGGAATCGACTCTAGGGTCGCATACGGAAGTTAGGCAACGGTACATGACTTGACGGGGGTTTGGACAGCCATATCATAGGCTTGGGTTGAACACTGCTTCGGAGGTCTCAGCAAGCTTAGCAGTTAAAACAATGATGAAATCAGATTTGTCTAGAACGTCTTGAACATATAGTAGCTGGAAATAAGTCTGTGTACTCTTGCTTGCTACTGTGTGAGCGTCCCCGGCGGGATGTGGAAAAGACGTACAATCCTAGGCAGCGTAAAGCGGAGCGGATCTGTAGTTCTACTCTTTAATTGACCTATATTGCTGTCGTCTGGGGTAGACTTGCATATTATGAGGAGTCTCAAAGAGACTTCATGAAAGAGTACACAGACATATGTCTAGATACTGTAATGACAATCAGTGATGCTAAAACGTGGTGGTCCGAATAGTGAAGACATGACCAATTGGAGCGATGCACGCCTTACTTGGCAGCCTAACTTGCCTGGAGCCTAGCGTTGAGTGTTTATTATTTCCTCCGCAACAGCCTCCCCCGCAACGTCATGCTTTCCTATGAAAGCTCCAAAGCGCTCATCGATTCTTATGTTTGCTGCCCGTCAGAATCTACTGCCAGGACCAGTTGGGCTGTGAATCTAAGACGCTGTTCATTCTATCGTTCTCCACGTAAGACCATCCCCATCTCACGTCCAAGGCCGCATCCGCCGCAGCATCGCAGACCGTGACCACCGCCGCATTCGCACGCCTACCACAATGCCGACACCTGGATCCGGCTTCGATAGCACTTTTACGGGGCGGCCTCTCCGGTGGACTCTTTCACCGACTCGCTTCTGCGAGACTCGTGATTCCTTCGCTGGACTGACAAAGCCCAGTATTAATAGACAAAGCGCGGCCCGCCTCAGCTCGAGATCTGGTCGACGCTCGTTTCGGGCCTTGGTTTCTGCTTGAATAGGTTCTCGCCTCTTCTTCTTGGCGCTACCAAAGTCCGACATGGACCCTTTCAGATACAAAATGGCATATGAAGCCTTGAGCTTCCATAACCGTCAAGTGGAGGACATCCTCTCTAAAACGCTCTCTCAGAAACCAGACATCATCTCTCAGGCAGACGATTCCGACTCGAATGCATATGGTGAACCAAGTGGTCTTGGCAGGGCCCCAGACGCACAAGGAGTTATATCATTTCCCGAGGACGACTCGGATGGCATGGAATGGATGCCGACTGAACCTGCGCAGTCGGTGAGATGTGATAATCCTTCAGCGGGGTTGGGGACGAGATCAGAACTTCTACTTGGGCCAGGACATGTTTCCAGTTCGAGTGATAATACGAGTCCGTCCGCAGTACCTTCTCAGGCCCAAGACGGAGCTCTCATGGATGAAGGCATCAAGAAGCTTGTGCAACAATTTCCATCCGTCATGAGCCATGATGGGTCTGGCTCCTTCACACCCTCGACCCTAGAGGTACCCAAAGATTTTGGAATGCAAATGAGTATTACTATCAACCATCATTTGTCCCTTGTGGAAGATCGAAAGATCATGGAAAAATATCGTCGACTTCTTGGGCATCGGAAGGATGCATCCAAACGTAAAAACATGCGGCTCGGGTTCGATCCGTCCGAGCTGATACGGAAGCAAGCTGTGGTTTTACCAGAAGATACACCAACGAAGTTGTCGACTCTTACAAATGACATACACCCTATCTTTAAGCCCGAAAACTTTCACGGCTGCCCGGACGCGATCTATGAGATCTTGAAACCAGCGTTGAGACTCAGTACACAATTTCTACTCTCTCGAGGTACGTCGAGCTTTTGGCACACATTACTATTTGGCGAGCGGGAAGTATGTCAAGACACTTCGACACAGTACGGACAGGAATGCATTCGAATTCGGAAGGATGTTCCGTGGTCGGAGCAGAACGCCGAGGTATTCGAACAAGTCCTTCTCAACCAAGCCGATGCCATCCACTTCTTCTTCCACAAAGATCCTTTGCCTCCAAATCCCGTCTATGCGTCCATGGGGTTAATAGCAGATTACAAAAACGGCGTAGTACGGCGGATGAACGAAAAATGTCATAAAAGCAAGATCTGTCTGCACACGGACTTCTATACAACGGCAAAAAGACTCAGCCTATTACAATACCCTGATCCAGCGATGGTATTAAGATTCAACCTATTTCTTGCAGTCTGTCTTACACATGAGATGTCACATTTCCTGGAAGTGGCGGGGCCTCATCAGCAAACGCTCTTAGGGCGACCCGAGGTTTTCTTCTACGACAACATGTGGACTGAGTCTGGCGTTGCCTTCGAACTGAAGATTTTCGGTGGTCGCGTGCACCCAGTATCTCTTCGCGTGGACTGCAGCCTCGGACTAGCGATTCTGAACTATCCGTTGAAACAGATCTACGACAAGGAAGACAATGTTCTATACACTATCCCAATGGATTACGTCGCGATGTTGCAGAGGCAAGAAACTTGGGAGCAGGACTTCAGTAACGTGGATTCGACCTTCTTTCACATTCCTCGCAGCGGCACGAAATCGACAGAGCTGAACGGCACGAACCTAATGATATGGGAGGATGAGCAGGATGCCGATATCTCAGACCATATCGACGGGAAGGACACGACATTCCACCGGATGGATAATGGCCAAATTGTGAAAAACAAAGCTACCACAGCTAGACGGCCGGTCAAGAAGCGCTGGACGCCGTACGATCGCCCGAAGGACCAGACATTGGCTACTGGGGACTGTGTCTTAAAAGAGCTTCCTGAGGACGCCGCAGTGCCAGGGTGTGAGTTGGAGAAGGAGGCCGCGGGGACGGTGGAGATGGTTGATGATGATGTTATGTCTGCATAAAAGGCTTCGGGATTGCATGTTTACACTGGCATGGTTTGCATACGTGATTGAAGGATATCCGGAGGGAGCGGCCAGGCTAGATTGCTGTGGGCGCTCGGAATTGGACAGGACTAGGTCAACATAGAAGCTCTCATTAACAACGTTTTGATACTAGAGGCGACTTGGATATGGCACATTCTTCGTTCTTTCAGTATGAATAGTTACATTTGATTCAATTGAAGGTCCCTACATTAGTCTTTTAGCTTTACCTTAGGTGATCTAGAGAGCCTAAATACCATCGAGAAGGATAGATCCTCGTCATTTCCGGTCCCCCAAAGGTATTGAAATACTCCAAACGACGTTGCTGTCTGAAGCGCAAATGGAACAAAAGGTTTCGCTTAGGGAGCCTAGCGCCATTTCAGACTCGATTTCGATTTCGCCCACCAAAACTGCCCCACGCTCAACTCTTTCGACTCCAGCACCACCGCAATCATGGCAGACACACTCAAGGACTCACCGCTGCGTGCGGTGCAAGTCGAAGCGCTGGTAGTGATGAAGATCATAAAAGCCTCCGCTGGCGCCTTCCCGACAACCGCGACAGGCTCACTTGTGGGCATGGACGTCAACGGCACCCTCCAGATCACAAACTCTTTCCCGTTCCCTACGGTCGACGTCCCGGCGACAGATGGACACCAAGACTCGGCATCGAACCTGGCCGCGGCCGCGCCCCGCGCGAAGGCGAACACAGCGTACCAGAACGAGATGATCAAGTTTCTGCGGGAGGTGAACGTGGACGCGAACAATGTGGGATGGTATACTAGCACCAATATGGGCAACTTCATCAACCTGAACACGATCGAGAACCAGTTCTTCTACCAAAAGGAGATGAACGAGAGGACCGTGGCGCTTGTGCATGATGTTAGCAGGAGTTCGCAAGGGAGCCTGAGTTTCCGGGCTTTCAGGCTTTCGCCTTCTTTCATGGCGGCTTACAAGGAGAGCAAATTCACGACTGAAGCGTATGTGTTCCAAAATGAAGGAATCAAATCTATGCTAAACGCGTAACAGTCTCCAGAAGAGCGGCCTACGATACCAAGATATTCTGATCGAACTCCCCCTCACCATCCACAACTCGCACCTCCTCACCTCTCTCCTCCATCAACTCCCGTCGGAAGCGCCAAAGGAGGAGCTCGCATTCCCTCCGACCCTCGCAGCACTACAAGCAGACCCCAACACCCCGCAACCGCCTCTATACCCCAATTTCGACTCTCTGGACCTCTCCATCGACCCCTTCCTGGAGAAGACGTGCGATCTACTACTCGAAAGCATCGAGAACCACCACACCGAACTCAACAACCATCAATACTACCAGCGATCGCTCGGACGAGAACAGGCAAAGATCACCGCCTGGCAGCAAAAGCGAAAGGCGGAGAATGCGGCCAGAGTTGCAGCGAAGCAAACACCCCTTCCAGAGGACGAATGGCAGAGGCTCTTCAAGCTGCCCCAGGAACCAAGTAGGCTGGAGGTGCTACTCAACTCGAGGCAGGTGGAGCAATACGCCAGACAAGTGGACGGTTTCACAGCGAGTGTCAGCGCGAAAATGTTTGCGGTCAAGAGCAATCTGCTACCCGGAGAGTAGGCGTAGAGATGGGATGCTAGGGATTATTCTGCACTACCTAACCTTTGTCTTGCATGGGCACGGCGTTACTGGGCAGCGAAGGGCTAGGTGGTTGGTATTGAGGGTGGATATGAGAAAATGAGCTTTGGTCTGATGGGCGACTTGTGTGCAATAGGACTCTCATAAAACCACAAATCTTCAATACAGATTCTACACGAAAATCGAGCGCGTGCCCCTCTGCATATCTCAGAACATCTGACACATGAACCCTCCATCTCAGAACGCCCGTAAAGGCTGACCTCCCAAATAAAGAAAATCCTCAACCCCACATCCCGTCCAACCCCCAGCCCACCTCCGCTTGGCAAACGCGCTCCATCACACTTCGCCTTAAAGCAGCGACACCAGCCCATACGCGAACGCTCCCAACACGCTATGGACACCACCAACGGCCCTCTGCAACACCATCTCCCGCATCCTACACACCTCTCCCTCCCAAAACCCCTCCGCACGCTGCAACCCGCCGCCATCCCCGCGTTCCACCACCAACAAACCCATACCCATTCTCACAATGGCCTCCCCCCGCACCTGGCTACCAGCTTAGACCCCGGCTTGTTTCGGTCGGGGTACGGTCATGAGGTAGCGCTGGGTGGGGAGCCCGGGCTGGGCTTTGAACATGGCGTGTTGCCCGATTTGCAGCAAGAAAAGGGGTATGGCATTCCGCCGCAGGGGTATACACATGCGCATGGGGGGAATGGGTATGGGCTTGTAGGGTCTGGGCAGCATATGGAGAACCTGGGACAAGCGGGGAGAGAGCTAGATGGGCGGTTTGGGAGTGGCAGTATGGGAGGAGATGGAGGCGGAAGAGGATCTTTAGGAGGGGATGAGGGAGGGGGTCGCCTCGCGAGAGAGGAGGAGGGAGAGGGAGTCGCGGTTAAGAGTGACGGGCAGTTTGAGGGCTTGAAGTTGATACCCAATCCGCCGGATTTGGAGTGTTGGCGGCAGAGGTTGTTTGCGGTTGATGAGATGGTTTTGTTGAGTGAGGAGCAGTACGTTGCTTCCCATCCGTCTATCATATCCCGGCAATATGAGGGGATTGGAGACCAGATATGTGGGCAGACTAGTGAGTGTATATGCTAATTGGTGTATGCGGTTATAGGTTCCAGACATACTTCCCCCACGTCGACAACGTCTACTCCCACCGCTCTACGCAGGGCTACAAGCGCAAGCCTTTTGTGTCTCATTACTGGGACTGCCGTCTAAAAGGCCGCCCACCTGGTACAAAGAAGTCTACAGACCCGGAGAAGAAGAAAAGGAAGCGAGTTGCGCGCGAGCGCGATTTGTGTGATGTGAAGATTAAGATCACGGAGTACCTACCCGGAACGATCCCGAGCGAGTTGTTTACTCCAACGCCTAATTCGAATGGCGGAACTTCTGTACAGGCCCCAACGCAGCAGCAGCTAGATGCGCTCAACGCGGGCGGTTTCTATGCTCAACAGGGCGCAGCGGGGGAGCCGTGGGGGATGGGCAGCCTGGGTATGGGGCCGTGTCAGGGGAAGTGGTATACAATTCAGCGCGTGAATGGAAATGGGAGGAACGGGAAAAGTGTCGGGCCATGGGTTGCTGGACCGCACAAGCATACGCTCGAGGAGAGTGATCGGGTGAAAAAGAACAGTGTGGTCAGACATTTCATGAAGAATGAGAGGGACAAGAAGAAAGTCCAGGTGAGTGAGGCTGCTCTCATTTTGTGTCTGGGTACAAGTTTGGGAGATGTTCCGTGGAGAAAGAGGCATCATGGACATCACGTCATTTTGCGGGGTCCCATGCGGCCGATCATGATCATTATCTATCGTTTTGTTCTAAGAGATATAAGAATCACCCGCCTCTTTCCCAAATGATTTCCACTACGAGATCGACTCTATCTCGCGCTATTCATCAGTCGCTCCGTTCGAAACCCACTTGCTATTTCTCACATTCGTATTGCCCACCAATTCTCCGAAGTTCTTTCCTCTTCAAATCATCTTTCATAGATATTCCTTGCCGACCGTCCTTTTCGTCTTCATCACCGCAGGCGAACAGCAAAATGACAGACTCCAACCAGGGCGGCGATCCGCAAAAGAAGACCTACCACAAGAAGGCCACCGGCAAAGCCTATGCGACTGTGAAGGCCCATAGCAAAGAGGAAGATCTTAAGCTATATGGAAGCTGTTTCTGGTGAGTATTGCAACATTGATCTCCTCGTTTTTAACCTTTTGACATGACGTCCAGCATAGTGACGTTAAACCCAAACTTAGCTAACTGCATGCAGTCCCTTCGTTCAACGCGTCTGGATATCCCTGGAATTGAAAGGCATCCCATATCAATATATTGAAGTCGACCCTTACAAGAAGCCGCAGAGTTTGCTAGATGTCAATCCGCGCGGTTTGGTACCAGCCCTGAGGCATGGGCCGACGTGGTCGTGTCACGAGTCGACTGTATTGATGGAATATGTACGTTCGGACTTTATTAGTGTGCTGTGAGCTTTCATGCTAATAGATCGTAGCTCGAAGAACTACAACAAGGCCCACCTTTGCTGCCCGCAGATCCTCAAATGCGGGCAACGTGTCGACTCTGGAGCGATCACGTGAGCATATTGTTTCAATATTTCTCTCTACTTTCCATTTTCCGCAAGGGAGACAATCAAGACGCTATACTCACAGAACGCAGATAAACCGCCACCTTATCCCCTCCTTCTACCGCCTCCTCCAATCCCAAGACCCTTCGCACCACCCGTCCCTCGCCTCAGAACTCTCCGCCCACATCAGCACCATCGTCTCGGCGGCCGAATCCCTCTCCGTCGGCCCCTTTTTCCTCGGCAACACCATCGGCTTCGTAGACGTGCAGATGGCGCCGTGGGTGATCCGCCTTAGCCGCGTGCTGAAACCGTATCGCGCATGGCCCGAGCCGGAGGAGGGGACGAGGTGGAAAGCGTGGGTTAGCGCGATCGAGAATGAGGGCAGCGTGGAGAGGACGACTAGTACCGAGGAGCTCTATCTGGATAGCTATGAGCGGTATGCGGAGAATAGGCCGGATACGAGTCAGTTAGCCAATGCGGTTAATTCGGGGAGGGGTCTGCCTTGATTGGATATAGGACATTGGTAGGCGCCTTTGAAGAAATATCTACAATCTGGGTGCCATGCAGCATGCACTCAAGTTTTTATCAAATTCCGTTTCACGCCGTTGATTTGGTAAGAACTTGTAACTACACTGCGCCATTTCCTGATGAAGCACCTCAGCATTTTTTTCGAGTATCTGATTCCGTGGACCTGATTTAGGGCCCCGAGTCCAGTTGCAGAGAGCAAGTACACCGCTTGCCCTCTGCATGCACCCCGCGTCTACCAAACACAATCTCATGTGGTCAATTCCGTAAGAACTTATGACATTTCTTCCTAGTTTCTACTCGGAAGTGCTTCAGCTTCACTTCATTACTTTCGATCTCTTTAGGTGTCGACCTGATTTACAGCCCGTTGCTTTTGTAGTAGAAAAGAGCTACACTGCGTACCCCTCCGCGAGCACGCTGCGTCTACCGAATTTCGTTTCACGCGGTTCATTTCGTAAGAACTTGCAACTGACCAACTCATATTTTGCACGCAGGTGCTTCAGCTACTCTTCTTTGTCTAAGAATCATTTTGACAATGGTCTGATTTAGAGCCCGTTGCTTTTAGAGTAGAAAGCAACCACGCGGCGTACCCCTCCGCGTCCACATCGCGTTTATCAAAAGTTCTTTCACGCGGTCCGATCCGTAAGAACTTGTAACAATTTCGCCTGTTTTTTGCTCGGAGGCACTTCAGCTACTATTCTTCGCCGTAGGACTCATTAAACGTCAATCTGATTTACAGCCCGTTACTTTGGCGATGTAAAGTGACTACGCCGCGTACCCATCCGCGTGCACGTCGCCTCTATCAAAAGTCCTTTCGCGCGGTTCAATCCGGAAGAACTCGTAACAAATGAACCCAGTTCGTGCACAGAGGCACTTCAGCTACTCTACTTTGTTTGAGGATCCTTTTGCTATCAATCTAATATACAGCCCGTTGCTTTCGCAACACAAAGCGACTACACCACGTACCCCCTCCGCGTGCCCTCCATGTCTACCAAAATCTCATCTATGCGGTCAGTTCGGTAAGTATTAGTAACAAAACTTCACTTGGAGGGGCCGCGGTGTGATTGCAGATTCTGTATTGTCCACGCTCTCCTCTCTCGGCTTTGAGAAACCGCTATCGCGGTCAAGGTTCGTGATCTGGACGTCCATCACGTGGATGCTTACTCATCGACCGTTTCGAAGTATAAATCTCTCCTTCGTCCGTTCCCTCGGGCTACTTTCTCCAGGAGCATGGGCGGAGATGGAGAATCAAAACTTCCCATGCGATCGGCCAATGGTGGCTGGGTAGAGAATATGCCCAGCAGGAACAACAGACAGAAGAGAGTCATGGCCTCGTCGAGGTTTGAAACGGAGAGAAAGAAGTTCTGATGGGCTATAGGGGAATAATTTTGACGAGGAAAGAGTATCATGGTGGACCTGGTTTCAACTCTGGCTCTACAGCAGATGGTGGTGTCGTGGAGAGACCCGCAGTACAATGGATCTGGGGCTTATCTCATGGTATCTTTGGGCTGGGTTCGAAAAGGCAATTGTCAAGCTTCATGCGGTGGAAAGAGCACCAGCTTTGGGAATGGTGGAGAAGTCGTGGGTGGGAGGTGACTATCTTCGTTTCTCAATGATGATCTTCATACGTATTTTAAACCATACTTCATCGGCGGCAACACGCTGTGGGATGATCTTGGTCGATTGACGGATTGAAAATTGAATGGACTTTTGAAAGCGCCTTGATTGGATTTCAGACCGTAGCGTTTGGACATTGATGGAACCGTACATAAAGTACATGATTCACCCCGATTGCTACCAGCATTGCTTGCTATAGGTGATTGTTCTAATCCAACACCTTCACGTCTAGTCAGGATACCGGTAGTGGTCCCAACCAGCTACGATGACTTTTCCATGATATCCCCTCTTGAGCGCATTGATCCGAACTAGATACTTCTCCGACGACTCGTTCGGGCCTCTGAGCTGGCGTCCAGCAAGCGGGACTTCCACTCCACGTATCCACTCCAAGGATACGTCTTTCGTCGATATTGAACATCTTCCTGGCTCGCATACTCGAGCATCGGCGGTCCAATGTAGCGTCCGACTAACAACCATTGAGCAATCTCAGGCCAGTCTTTCGCAAACTCAAACGCATTTCTCCACAAGTTGTCCCGTTCGCTGAAATAGATGACCTTTGCGCTGGACCGGACAAGGAGTCTAACTATTGGCAGATCGCCTATCGAACTGGCCACCATGAGCGCGCTACCGAATGGGGAACCTTCAAAGTCTATGTCGGCACCAAGTGACACCAAGACTTCGGCGGATTTGAGAAGACTATGCCACGCTGCGATACAGAGCGGACTTTCCCCGTGGAAAGGCTCTAGGGGTAACAATGCTTTTAGTCTCGCTTGTCTCAACGCCCTGAAAAGAACGGGAATCTCGGACACCAGATCGGTTGCGTATTTGGTGTGAACAAAAAGCGGAGGCACCGGATCGTGGTAGTCGAGAGTCTCAAAAAGGTATCTCTGAGAGATACATCTTCGGAGGCGAGGCTTTGAGAGGCTATGGTGCATTACAGATAGTCCAGACCAGTCCTTCGCTGTGGGATCTAGTCCTTCGGAGAGCAGATAGTCAAAGACATTCTGCTCGCTACAAAAAGACAGCATTGATTGACCACTTCGTATCTCAGTTAGATCGGCCCCATATCGCACGAGAAGCTGGATGCTCCGAAGGTCATTATTATAGCTCGCATATTGTAGCGGCGTGAAACCGGCTCGGTCACGGATACTAACACTTGCGCCTTGACTGAGCAAATATTCCAAAGCTTCCGAGTATTTTGGAAGTCGATTTTTGGGCGCATATAGGGGATTTCGGCCGCTGTGAGATATGGCTCGGATGTTGATGTCGGCTCCATTTTCTAAGAGAAACTGCATCATTTCAACGTTGTTGTGACTTGCTGCAATGTAGAGTGGCGGGTCGCTATTTTCCATATACATGTTGAGTATCTCGGATACAGTGGGGAGTGCAGAATGCTCCTCGTTTCTATTTTTCATGTTTAGGACCCACATCTACTTTCGATCCAAGGGAAAAACTGCCGACTGGGAGATCAAACTCACCTCTTTTTATTCATCCAGCGAATCATTAGCTTCAATCCTTCCAAATTGCTGTGTTTCACAGCCGATTGGACGGCTGTCCAGTCCCCAGCAAGCCATAATGGCCAGTACCTACTAAATCCATGGAGTAGGCTTTCTAAGAGCTCGTTGAATTTACTGTATTGAACTGCATGTTGTATGATTCCAATCGTAGGCGCTTCCTCGACGTCATTGTGGTCCTGGGGAACTTCGCCCCAAGTCGCCCCGCCATATTCAAGGAGCCATGAAATCACAGGAACGTCCCCTTGAAGAAGCGCCTCTACGATGGGAGGGTAATCGCACCCTGGGATTTGGGACTTCAGAGAACAGCCATTCCGGTGCAAGATTTCGCAGGCTCGAAGATTGCTGTTTTGAATTGCTTTCCTCAATGCAACGAGGGAATCCTTCGTCACGCGTTCAACTCGTACCTCTGGCGCGCTTTGCGAGGAGATATCGGACTCTATCAGCATGTTTACAATGCCTTCGCGACCAGTGTCTAGTGCTATCATCAAGGGAGTCCGACTGCGCTTATCCGGACATGATTTTGCCCCTAGGTCGAGAAGGGCCTTGACTCCGACTTCAGACTCCATGACAGTAACAACATGAAGGGGGGACCAGCCCTCACTGTCCTGAGCATTGACATCCAGGCCCTGCGCTGTTAGGTACTGGAACAAAGTCAGTGCGCTTTCTGGATCGGGGTTCCTAGCTGCGAGATGCAGGCAGCTGAAGCCTTCACTCGTGGTGGCTCTGATGTCATTAATGAGCCTTTCTTCGATGATATACTTGACGATTGCAGGTGTGCGATAAAGGCACGCGAGGTGAAGGGCAGTACAAGACGTCACCTGCCTGTATAGACGACCTCCGAAACTGTACTGCACAAACTCGTCATCAAACTCGGATACCCAATAACTTAAGGAACAAGTTTTTTTCCAATTGATATTTGGATACTCTTGACAGACTTTTTTGATGTCTTCGAATTCGCCCCAGCAAACAAGGGCGAGTATGAAGTCCATTTCTTGATCTGACGAGAGCGACGGATCTGCTCCATGATCCAACAAGAGTTTTGCCGTTTCAAAAGACCTCTTTTCGATGATGTGGTAGGTTGCAGCCGTTTTACCCTTATATGGGGCAGCTGTCGCGAGTAGATTGGGATTCGCTCCTTTGTGGAGTAACAATCTAAGCTTCTCTAGGTTTTCAGGGCCACTCAGCCGATGGGCCAACCCAATGCCACTCTTGGGATTCAGTATGTCAAGCGTGTTAGGATCCGTCTTCTCTAACAGTAACTGAAAAGTCGAGACGGAGCAGTGCCTTTCACAAGCAACCTCCAACGGCGAAGTATCTTCGATGTGCTTATGGACTGATACACCGTACTGGAGAAACTCAGTAATCACATTGCTGCTAGCGTCTTCTTGTGTTGCTAAGAGCAGTAGTTGTAGTACCGCGAAGGAGAAGCTCGGAGATGTCTTGTGAGAACTCTGGTCTAGTATTTGAGCTAAAGCAGGTTGTAGGTTGCCCATAACACCTGAGTGTCGTGATGTGTGGCCTCGAAATGGGGCACAGGATTTGGCAAGTGATTCTGCCAAAATTCCAGCAGCGGGTTTTCCTCGAACGGACTCATATCCTACTATGACGCCTCTGTCCAGAAATGCTTTCAAAATAACACTCATCCACGTCGCTTTCGGTGCGGAGATAGTTACATGATCCGCCAGATCAAGTATCGCAATAATGTTGAAGCAGAAGAATTCATACAAGGTTTCGCCACTATTGTTTTCACATAAGATATCCGAAGGTAGTAACGCGAGCACAAGGTTTTGCTCGATGGTCCATCCATACTCGCGGTACCGATTGTGGTTCAGGTCATGATACTCATAAACGTCTTTGTCTCTGAGTTTCTGGAACATACGTTCGAGCGGTAACAGACCTTCGTAGCGTATATCGCAAGCGTTTGGAACAAGAGACTTGATAAGGCCCACGCACTCTGCAGGCGTGGAATAGTCAACAAAACGTAGTGGACCTCCGGCCGCGTGAGACGTCTTACTAATGTCACATTTTGCAGCAACAAGAACTTCTAAGACACTTTGGGAGCCTGCGGATATGGCCATTTGGTAGGGTGAAATGAGGTCCGGGAGATGGCTGGAGTCGAAACGACAGAATGGAATGAGAACGGCAGCTGTGTCAGATCTTTTTTGAGAAAGTGCGAGCCCAAGTGGCGTATAACCGTCATGGTTAACATCCTGGAGATGAGATGTATCAGACACTTTCCCCAATAACCATTCCACGAGATGGCAGGATTTCCTTTGGGTGGCATAGTGCCATATTGTGTTTCCGTTTTTGTCTTTAGCCGTATCTGAGCATCCGTTGCCCAGTAAAAGATGCGCCACCCTGAAAACTGCATCGAGTGGCGGCTCTGGCAATACGTCCTCAGACTCAAAGTTAGAGATCGAGACAGAGTCAGAGTCATACTGATTACGTGTATCCCGGAATGGATGGCTTGAGTTATACCTGCAGCAGTAATGTAAAGGAGTCTCGCCTTGTGCATCTGTCGTGGACACATCAAAACCGAGGTCTATAAGGTACTGCACTGCTTTATAGGAACCCTGGCGAGCTGCTATGTGCAACAAAGTTGCCTTGTTCTTCTCGTGCTCTTTGAACGTCCACGTCCTGGCATCCTGGGATATGGCCTTGAGAATATTGATGTTATCATAAATGACTGCGCTGGAAGCCTTATGATAGTAGTCCTCATCACTGACACTCGAGTCGTTTGTTTTTATGTCCATCGATTCGTCGCCGTGCATGATCAGATGGCCCTCGATGGCTCGACGCAATTTCCCGACCAGTTTCGGATCTGATCCCGTCATGGGAGCCTCTATGATAGCTTTATATGACGCGGCCTCCTCCTCGGAGAGAACAGAATGACCACATACAACCGATTCCTTCTCGAAATGCGTTATGAACTTCGCGTCAAGTCGAACCCCAGCATTGAAAAGATGATAAAGTGTGCCAGCCGCCGAACAGATTCCTGGCTCGAAGCGTTTCGCAGCAGCAGTAAGAAGCGTGTCGTGTATCGCAATGCCTCTGTGATGCAACGACGGACTCTCGCCTTCATCTGAAGAGGTGGCGAAGCCGCCCGCGCAACGTGCTCCATGTGTCACGAGCATCGCAATAGTACTCCTGCAGGTTTCCTCGGTATCGTTGATTAGGTGAAATTTCAGTCCCGTGACAGCGAAGTCAATGCAGCTACCTAAACTGCTCTCCAAGGAAGGGTCTGCTCCGTGCTCGAGTAGATGCTCACACACTTCATGAAGACCTAGAAAGCTAGCCATATGCAAGGTTGTAAAGCTCGAGTGAAGGAGCTTTGGAGCAGTGCTAGTCAATTGTGCGGCAGAACCATCACCGTGTTCAAGACTCTGATAAAAAAATTGCTCTCCCTGATGTATTGCACCAACACGTTTCAATACCTTCAATGTCTCTTTACCATCTTCGCTGACTGGTCTCCGATTATAAAATTGGCGAAAAAGCTCAATGGACCAGCGAACGAAGGTCGATCTTTTGCTATAATCGAATAAAACAAGGATTTGGTCCCAAAGAGCTCTTGAAGTCTTGAATGTAGAACTAATCTCTTCTATCGTCGTTGAAGAATTGGAGTATGAGGGCGGCTCTTTAGATAGAAGTCGTTTGTGTCTATTGAGGAAAGAGGAAGGTATCCAGTGCACAGCAGCATATTCATAAAACGGGTGTTGCTTACGAATTGCAAACAAGTCGTCCAACGCAGTCTTGGAATCAACTACCTCATCGTTGAAGTTTTGGAGATTGAGAAAGCGAAGACAAATTAGGTGAGTGAATGATGGGTCGGCTGAATGTCGACTTGTATGGGTGTAAAAGGCGTTGAGATCGGACTGTAGGAGCTCCTTCGATTGCAGAAATTCCTGCACAGTGAAGTGTGCAAGTTCAAGAGGAGGATCTTCATAGTCAGCATACTGAGATGACCGAACGAGGCTGCTGCACAGACGCATGAGTTCTTCTCCGTTGATCTTATCGTCTTCGTCAATCATCGTTGCGTCATCTCGTAATGACACCGCATCACATAGCAGGCTAATCCGAAGGGGTTGCCGCGCGTTTACAATGAGGTTTAAGGCGCTTCGAATGATCTGAATGGATCTCGGATGTGTATGTCGTCTGAGAATTCTCTCATAAGTTGCCGTTAAAGTTGGGGGTAATTGTCCTAAGGCCTCTCTCTTCTCTCGGTCGGTGGGTAGTTCACACAGGTAATCAAGTTGGCAGCTGACCCAGCGAAACCTAGAATCAGATAGGAGATTAGCTATTGTTCATAAGCGGCTCGATACACAGTAAGAGGGCGCTATTTGCATCCACTCCCCTGCTCTGAGTATCAACATGAGGGCACTAGAGGAAAGAAAGGCATAACGTACATTCCTTGGGCACCAATGACCAATCTATGTAAGATCTCATCTTTCAGAGTCATGTTGTTAAGCCGTAGGCGTCCTCTTCTGATCCGTGCTTCTAGCTCGGCACCGACGTAAAGTTGTATGTCTCCACTTTGGGCGGCGATGTCTAGGTGCTCATATTCTCCGTCGAGGCACTCCCAAATATGCGACTCATTACGGCTCAATAGAGCCATGGATATTGAGGGTGAGTTCTGCGCTAGTGATGATAGAGTTTCCACAACTTCGGGGTCATCACCGCACTCGTCCAACCCGTCAACAACCACGAAGACTTTATCGAAAGTGTCTGTCATGCTTTCAAGGAGACTTTGTAGCTTTGATGCTTCCGGTGTACTAGGATTTGCGCGATGCGGGTGGAGTTCTTCGTAGTATTCTTCAATAAGCGTATACGCCGCGTCGCTCTGCCGACCAAGCTGCGAGGCGAGCGAGCCCAGAATTGTTACCACATTTTGCGTTTTCTCGTTTTTGTAGTCGCAGAAGAAGAAGCAGCACGCTTGCGACGTAGAAGCGGTAGCGCGCTGTATGCTTTCCTGGATGATGGAACCTGCGAGAACGGTTTTTCCAGCGCCAGGGATCCCGCTGAGCCAAAGCCTCGAATTGGGCAGATCAAGCCATTGTTGGAAGCCCAACCCATTGGTAAGCCACAAGCCTGTCATAGGGTGGCGAAGACGAACGCTGGTCTCGAGATTTGGTTGCGGGTTGACAAGTAGGAAGAAATCTAGAATTTGCTGTCTTTGCTTGTCGATAGTGATTCGAGTTGTGATGTTTTTGACCGATTTTTTAATTTCTTCGAGTGCTTCTCCCATATCTGACTGCGAGGAGAGGCATTGTAGCATAGCTTTCATTGAATCAGCGGAAAGAGCGAGGGTGATCGTAGCCTTGTGACGTGATACAACTTCAAGCAGCGTCTTCGTTTCTTTGCTTGAATAGGGCCATAGCGGTCTCCGGGCGAACGATTTTCCTTTATTTGCCCCATTGAAATCAGCCAATGCCTTATCGACGTGCGTTTGAATCTGTACGATCGTTTGTCGGCAGGCAGCCACGTGATCGAGACGAAATGACGGCTGGTCATCGTCGAAAGCAGAAGCAAGTAAGGAGAGGTTGTGCAGTGTGCCAGAAAGATTTCGAATCTCTGACGCCACGCTTTCGACATCCTTTTTGGCCGATTTGACCTCGCGGCCGAACCGAATCAAAGCGCGGAAAAGTAGATCGGAGAGAGCAACCAGGCCTGCTATGCTGCCGGCAAGGCCAACTGCTGAGAAAGGATCAGCCATGTTGGCTACGTGCACCCTCCTGACGCTGTGTGGACTGCTTCGAGAAAATTTTCAACGTGGACGCGATGTCAGTTTTTAATTCTGACCAGGCTGACGATCTGTTGGATGGCGTGGCCTACCACAAAACAAAAGACTAAAATATACTCAAAACCTGAGTCCGAACAGAGTGAAAAGAAGCACGAGTTCGCAAAGAAAGATGATGGAAATGTTATCGAGGGCGCTGATTCACTCGCGACAGGGGCACATAGGACGGAGGACGATGGTTGCTGCCTACGAGGCTGCGTAGCACGGCTGAGGAATAAGTGAGATTGCCGAGTTGCAGCTTTTGGGCGCCCAAAAGACGTGGGCGGTTCTGCCTTGTTCTAAGCCTTGCGAGCACGAGAATGCGTATGCAGGATGCTCATATCCGCCCAATGAACTCCTCGATGCTCTGAGGCTTCCACGGATCACCTCAGCGCACATTCGGGATCAGTGAATCAGATACGGAATGAAAGTTGACGTAACTTGGAAATACTAAGTACCGAATAGCCATGCAGCGATCGAGCAACGAGAGAGTTGATGCAGGCAACCCTTCCTACATGTTTCATCACATCACGAATGAGAGCTCAGCCGTGTCCGGGGCTTCATTCGTGTTGTACCCATACTTTCCGGCCTAGACAATTGGGCATCGATGCAGTTATGCAGTTATGCATATGCTGCAGCTCTGTGGAAAAGGAGCTGGCATGCAGTACTTGTCGGTTCGGTTTCGGTGCTGTTCAGGGTCCATGTTTCGCGGCATACGAAGGACCATAATATGGTTCCCACGGGTCTAATGCTGAAGGCTAGATGCGATGAGGAGAAAGGAAATGCAACAATCGAGGGTTTCGAGTGAGGTGGAGGAGAAATCATCATGGCACGGTATGTACAACCTCTCTTTACGTCCGGTGGTCTAGCGCTAAACTGAGTCAATCCTGGTATACCTCTTCTCTGGGCTAGTACTTCACCGGCTTGAGGATTGATTGGCTAGAACGTTGCTATTCCCCCCTAAAGGCACCCGGAGTTGCTCCCTTATACGATAAGTCTGTGGCTTGATATTAGAGAGTGACCACCGGACGTGAAGAGAGGCTGTACAAGGGTGCCTTGGCTTGATTAGTGAGGTAGTGAGGCGTTTTCGGTAGAATAAGGAGGTTTCGCAATGGCCCTATAACTCCAACTTTCATTCGTCCTACCTTTGTATTCTCTCACGTATTGCCATCACCACCTGGGCATAGATAATTATATGCACAGCAAGCAAACACTGTTGGATTATGACAATCGCCCACAGCAATCAATGCTAGTAGCAAACAGGGCGCTCTCATGTACATAATATCGCGTTCTGTCAATGTTCAGATGCTACGGCCTGCAAACTAACAAACACAAGCAACCCTTTTCATTCTTTATATATACAGGCACGCCGCTAAGCTCTCTAGACCAGCAGAGCGGCTTTGTCCCCCGAGGTCTATGTTCTTCGTACGGTACACAACAGCCTTTCCGCTTTTGCCAATATCCCTTCTTAGGAGACACCACGATCCTGCCCACCTTCTCAAACATAGTAGATCTAAGGTCTAGATCGTCCAACTTTGCTATAGCAGCTTTCAGCCGATATTTATTGGGTTATGACAATCACCTACAGCAATCAATGCTAGGAGCAAACAAGGCTTTCATGTACATAATGTTCGCGTTCCACCAATGTTCAGATGCTACGGCCTGCAAACCAACACCATCCGCTACTAGCGATACGAATGAGGTAGAGTTTAGCTGGAATACCCACGACATCCAAGAGCGGAATGTTTCACCGTGTCAGCGCCTCGAGCCCCCCAAACCACCTCAACACCACCCAAAAATGATCGCCACCCTCTTCAACGCTCTCTCCTTACTATCAGTATCACCTTCCCTCCTCCTTCATCGCTCTGGCATATTGTTCATTACTAGCAACGCGAAAAGCTGCTCATCATCACTTCCCACCTATCCACCGCACCATTTGGGTACAGGTCGGCCGGATTTGCAAACCACCATAACTCCATTCCGCTTGGTCTGGGATCGTGGTTGCTTCTGAACACCAAATCCTCCACCCCTATACTCCATAGAGAGACCTGGCACTGCTTTTGAACACACCACGCCCACCACCAACATTTTGCTGATTTTGAACTCTCCAGCCCACACTCACCACTCCATTGGTTCAGAGAGGGGATGATTTTGAACCGAAGAGTCCGCCCCATGGAGAAGAAGTCCAGAAGCGAGGGCAGGGGGATGTTTTATACATGAAGAAACGCTGCCAAGAGGGACGGACATGTGAATGGCATGTGATTTTCTAGGTCGGGCGGGCGGTGAGGAGTAGGGCTATCACGAGATATCGCGTTTCAGAAAAACTCACACAACTTGGAGATGAGTCATATTAGCATACTAACGGTGGCCAAAACGTTGCCCCTAGCTCGCAAAGAACACCTAACTAAGCTTTCACGGTCACCCCGTCGCCAAAACCCTCGTCCAATCAAACTTCCTCCACCGCTTCTTAAACGCTTCAGCCCTCCTATCCCCCTTGACCCACCGCCCCTGCCTTTTTACAACATCAACCCCCACATCCAACATCCCCCCAAACACCTCTCTCGCAAACAAATCTCCTTTCGGCCACCTATTCGAGTCTTCAACGATATGCCCCATACCCCCATCCAGCTCAAACCAGACATGGAAATACGGCATCTCCTTCGCCAGCGTCCTCCGAAACGCTAGCTTCCCCATCCCGTTCTTAGAAGCCTTGAGCGTATCGATGAGTTTCCGATGCTGGGTCCATTCCTCGTCGCTGCTGAGGATCGCTTCGCGGAAGAAAGCGGGTGCAGTCTCGCCGAGGTCGTAGGGCACGGGGACGGCGTTCATAGCGGCGTGCAGACCGCGTTGCGGCGCGGCTGCGTTCTCGTAGAATACCACGTCGCGGCCTTGATCGTGGTACATCTGGATCAAGCACTTCATGAAGTTGCGGATCTCTTCCCACTCGTCGTCGTCGCATTCGAGGAGGTTGGCCCGGTGCTGCGTAGGTACAATAATGGCGCCACCTTCGCTGATCTCAGGTTCGGTGGGGAGGGTCAGGAAAACGCGGGTTCCGAGGGAGATGACGGGCGCGAGGGGGCCGGTGCCTTTGTCTTCGTGGGCACAGAGCGGGCAGTTGTCTAGGATGCGGTTCTGGCGCTGGTGGGCGGAGATGGCGTGGTTGCGGAGGTTGGTGTCGGATTTTGGAGCGCGGGTTGCCAGACGGGTGGCGTTTTCGTCTAGGTAGTCGAGATCATTCTAGTAGTCGAGGTTAGATACGTGTTCATAGCAAGGAACGCCGTAGATGCTGGAGAATATTGAATAGGGGAACTCACATCGAATTTGTCATCTTTGGCAATTTTTTCAGCGAGAAGAAGACCCTCGCCCCCTGCTTGACCACGCGTCCGCCGTTCTTGCCGGACCATGTCCTCGATGCTCATGTCTTCGTTTTCGACTACTGTGCCGCGTTCGGTTCCTCTCTTGTTCGTAAGGTGCTTGACTTCGCCTGCACGATTTGCAAGCATGCGAGTGTCCATAGCATCGAGTACTATGACGTCTTTCGCCGGCGCATTTGCCGAAGCAGCCGCTGCTTCGTTATATTCCTTCTCGAGCTGCGCGGCGTTGGATGCACCTCTTAGCTTCGCCTTCATCATCTGGGCTTTGAGTTTGTTCAGAGCTGTTTGATCCAATACGGGCCCGGGTAACTGTTCCACCGCTTGCTCTTGGGGTATGTAGCGTTCGCCCCGTGCGGGAGGGGGAGGCATGTTCTTATGGTCTGCCAGCCGTTGGCGAAATAGCTCCCCATCCGGTTTATCCTTGCCCTTGTAGCCTTGTCCATACATCTTCCTCCGCTCAACCTCGATCTCTTCCTCACGAGCCTCATCGAACTCCCGGAGGTCACCGAAGCGTTCCAGGGCTATACCCTCCACGGGGAGCCCACTCTCTTCCGCCTGCCTATACACGGCCTTGAGTTTCGTCATACGCCACTGCGATCCAGCGTCCCCAAAAGTATAGTCCACTTCCCGTTCTGGGGGATCCTCGTTCGCGTTGGTGTCCTCCGTCACTTTGAGGCTGTCGTCCTGGAGATCGCGCAGGTGGTGGTTCAGTTCATTTTGGTGGATCTTCAGCTGGTAATCGGCCTGGCTCGCCCCCACGGTCGTGGGCTTCGCGTCCTTCTGTTTGCGCTGAACGTAGTCAATGTCCATTGACGATGGCGCCTGCATCCACGAGTCGCGCTGTAAGTCCCCATCTTCAGCATCTGCGAGCCTAGTATCCAACGTATCCTCAGATGGCAATACAACGTCGTCCCCGGTATTTGGAGAAGCTGATCGGCTGTATTGCTTCGTAGAGCTCTCCCTATCATCTTTGCGCGAGCGCTTATGTTCGTGGTGTGACCGCGATTCTTTATGATCCTTGGAGTTATGATGCCGCGACGAGTGGTGATGGCGATGTTCTCGATCCTTGTCCTGTTTCTAGTGAGCGCAAGTCACAGAAAGGAGAATCCAGAGGTTTACCTTGGAGGATCGATGGCGGTCCCGGTCGCGGCTCCGACTCCGGTGGCGCTTCCTCGACTCTTTAGCCTTGCTAGCAGCCAGCTCTTTCTCAAAATCGTCGAGACCCATGGTGAAGAATGGTGTATACGGTGTATGTGGTGTTTTGCTGGAAATTCACAATGAGGTGAGGTCGATGTATTGGATGGTCCAAGCTTGCGATTCGATGTCATTTTCCCGCCGCCAAAGAAGTTCATTCATCTAATTTCTAATCCTCTACAACAACACCACAGCCATGGCTTCAACCACCACTTCAGACGCGCCCGTCGCTATCGTCTGCGTTGGCATGGCCGGCTCGGGCAAGACTACATTCATGCAGCGCATTAACGCGCATCTGCACTCGAAGAAACAGCTACCTTATGTGATCAACCTGGACCCCGCGGTACACAGTGTGCCTTTCGACAGCAACATCGACATCCGCGACTCGGTAAACTACAAGGAGGTCATGAAGCAGTACAATCTAGGGCCTAACGGCGGCATTCTCACGTCTCTGAACTTGTTCGCGACCAAGATCGATCAAATCCTGGCACTTCTCGAAAAGCGGACTGCACCCCCGCCAGCCCCTACTTCGCCGACCGCCTCTACGCCAACCACACCGCATAAGCCGATAAAGCATATTCTAGTAGATACACCTGGTCAGATCGAGGTATTTGTCTGGAGTGCGAGCGGCGACATCCTGCTCAACTCTCTGGCGTCTAGCTTCCCAACTGTCATTGCCTACATCATCGATACCCCCCGCACGACCTCCACATCGACTTTCATGTCGAATATGTTGTATGCATGCAGTATTCTCTACAAGACTAAACTTCCAATGATCCTCGTATTCAACAAGACCGATGCGCAAGACGCGGAATTCGCAAAGGAGTGGATGACCGACTTCGAAGCCTTCCAGGACGCGCTGCGGAAAGAAGAAGAAGGTGGTAGTTTTGGCGGAGAAGGGAGTGGTGGAAGCGGCTACCTGGGCTCTCTACTGAACAGCATGAGTCTAGTGCTAGAAGAATTTTACCGCCATCTCAGCGTCGTCGGCGTCTCCTCCATGACCGGCGACGGCATTGACGAGTTCTTTGAGAGCGTGCAGCAGAAAAAGGAGGAGTTCGTACGAGACTACCAGCCCGAGTTAGAGCGGAGGCGCGCACAACGCGAAGATGACAAGAAAAAGCACCGGGAAAAGGAGCTAGGGCGGTTGATGAAAGACATGAACGTTACCGGCCCGAAGCCAAGATCGAAGCCGAGCGAAGAGCCTGAGACAGTCAGTGATGCTGAGGACTTGGATGACGAGGAACAAGAGGTTGAGATGAACGATGACGATGACGACGAGACACAGGAGGACGGGCTTGAGCAGCGGTACAAGCAGGCTATTCGAGACAGTCATGGGGACGAGGGAGGACCATCGGGAGACGATTTCAGCTTCGCCAGGTACATGCACAAAGCCAGCATTGGGTGATAGGTAGGTCGATCTTCAGGCATGGGAACTGGGCACATGTTCACGACGGAGCGCGTCGAAAGAACGAAACGAGAACCGTCCAACATCTTGCCGGACAGTTGGGAAGGCGAAAATATCGGAAAAGGACAGTTCCACCCGGCTGGTGGTTCGAAACATGGTGCTCACGATATGCCCACGAAAAGCTCAATTCGTTCACGTGAGACTATCCAAATTCTGCGCTGAAAATGTCTTGCATTGCGGGCGGCACTCAGAAAAGCGCACAAAACCACTCCACGACTACATCAGAACCAAATTTCGACAAGGGGTCCAGCGGCTGTGCTTCTTCAAAAACTCAAACCGTCACGGGTAGACTCGAACAGTCGAATACGAGGGGCTAATGGTTCACGGGACGGAAACGTGCAGTCTCTCACAATGCGGTCTAGATAATTCCCAGCGCTGCGTATCCCGAAAACAGCCAGGACCCTGGTGCTTTTATCTTCCCAGCCGTGCGGTTCTAGGTAGCTCGGTAGCTGGTTTAAGAAAACTGTTTCAGATAATTCAGGTATTGTGCGATGCGTTCTGTGTGTCGTTTGATTCATCTGCATCTTGCTGTGCGCAGCAGGAAAAGGCTGGAGTTTGGACCCGACGTTCCGCTTGCCAGGCTGCTGGATCCGAGCTCCGACCTCTGTGGCCTCTTCCGGGTTCAGCATGCGTCGAAACACGATACCCATGCTGTGTGCGACGATGAGAACTCGGGAACAAGACACCTGCATCTGTGGGTGTGTAGCCTAACGGCTGCCAGAAACAGGAATACGCCAAACCCCAGATCCTAGAAGTCGAACGACCAAACCTAGACCCCAGATCCTGGGATGAATACACGCCGCACGCCCTGCCGCTCACCGGGAGAGACGTGCATGTGTATGTAAGGGGATGTGCATGCTTTTGACTTTTGCGGAGGGGTATATGTGAGAAGTATATGCTTTTTTCTTGTCGCTGCACTACACGTCTTCCCGGACTCTAGACTGGACTGGCCACCTGGAAGAAGTTCACCCCCTACATTCCCAAATCCGCTACCCTAACCACATGGGAAACTTACCTGAACAATCTGCTCCTTGATTCATGGACTCCCTTCTATTGTCCCCTCTATCTCTCCACCGACACACCTATCTCCCGGCTCCCCCTATTACCCAAGCCATCAAGCTATCGAGTGAATCTCCACGTGTGCTCACCAACCACCCCAGGTTCCCCAGCCCCCAAACTCAGCCACTCGCAGCCTGCACCCCCACCCCCATCCGGCTAACGAGACAAATACCGGTGGCCAGCCGTCGCACGACATGCTCGCGAGCCGAAGGTCCCACGGGCCTGGTTGAGTGGAGGTGCTCCCGAAGGATTTACGGGATACAGACGGGGGAGTGGGTGCCGCATGCACCGGTTGGCGTTGTGGGAAGCTTACTGCATGCATGCGAACTACGGGACGCGGGAGGCGGATGGGAGAGGCGGGATGCGGGAAGCAGGCACGCTGCAGGGGGTGCGGGGGGAGGAGATGCGTGCATGTGGATATGCGAGTGTGGTTTGAGGAGGCGAGGATGGGGAGACGTACGCAGATGAGAAAAAAGAAGCGATGGAAGTGGCATTGCCTACATTGCCTTACTTTGATGCATCATAGTCGGAGCATCCCAGTCCTAGATTGGATCCATTAGACATCGCAGAGAGGGGAAACGTGATATCGTGCCAAGTACTGAGCATGTGATTTTGACTCAGAGTCCAACTGAGACCCGCATGCTCTCCGGCCTCGAGGTGTATATGTAAATGCACATGTATACTGCAAGGGCGAGTGCTGTTTCATGCAAACGTGGGCTCATGTATGCATAGCCATATCCGCAACCTCACTCGTCGTTTTCGACGTCTTCAGTTTTGAATCAACCCACCTACCGATCCTGAGTATTCTTCCCCCTTTCTTTTTCTCGCGGCGCGTTTGTCTCGGCCAGGGCTCCCGCTCCTTCAGATTATCCAGCATAAGCGTCTAAGTAAGCATAGCCACAGGCTTCTCGTCGCTTAACGGAGTCCGGAGTCCCTATAGCTGCACCAACCGCATCCTCCTGCATCCCTTTATCTTAGCTAGCTGCGTCTTGCACCCTCAGCGTTATCTCGGTTCTAAACTAACTCTCACCTTCCCAACCCAACCCTTCCCCTCCGCATAAGCGTGCGTGTAAATCCAACCTTAGGTGGCGGTAGGTAGGATTCCCATCCTTCGTGTGTACCGTACGCACAGCCAAATCGATTCCTACCATCGGCCTTCCAACCCTCTCGACCTACCCATTGAAACACCCGCGCAACCAATAGCATCCCTCCACCACCACTCGAACCCACCTCGGGCCAGTCTCCGCTATAGGAGCATTACCTCCCAACAAACCAGCCCAAACACCGCCCGCGGAGCCGCCTCCTCACCCTCCCCTCGCGCTGCAGGGTCTCACAGGGGCCCCGCGCGTTTCCGCAGCGGGGGGGCCAGCGGCGTGCGTTCCGTGGATGGTCCTCACGCCCTTCCCTTAGTAAATCCACGGTTCGCAACAACACGGGGAGGGGCTAGAACTAGAGCTGTTCTAGTTTCGTGGCACCGTGGGTAATAGGAGTGGTAGAACGACGACGACGACGACGACGACGTGGTTGAATGGAACAGTGAGCCAGGCGACATGCGTGAATGAGAATAACATGCAACATTTTGCCCCACTTTCGCGACTTCCCTCCCTCTCTTCCCGCATGATTTTATTTTAAAATGTTGTGCGTGTGGAGAAGAGAAGGGTCCAGCCTCGCCCTTTCCCCTCTGCTGATCCCTTATAAAGGACGGGTGGGGCACGAGCCGGTGCGTGTGGGGACCCTGCATACACTCTCCCCCCCCTGTACGGACTGGACACCACCGTGCGTAGAACAGGGGATTTTACATACAAAAACCCTTGTTTTGCGCACGGCGGTGTCCAGTCCGTACAGGGGGGGGGAGAGTGTAGTTCTGGGCGGGAAGTGGGCTCCGCTGGTGTAGGGTGGCTTGCTTGTTGGAGGATGTGGAGCTAATACAATATGTGGAGCTTAGGACAGTGGAGATTGGGCTTTGAGCGTTGTGGGGATGAGATGGTTATTTGGTGGACAACAGACAGGGGGGGGGGGGGGGGGGGGGGGGGGGGGGGGGGTTGTTATGGACAGGACAGGCAAAGCTGGAAAGAAGGATGAGAGAAAACAGCTAGATACGCTGTATACAAAAAAAAAGCCTGTGTACACCCGAAAAAAACACAAATCCCCACCACCGGCGCTTCCATCCACAACTCCACCCACTCGCGCCACTTTTATGACGATTTCTGTGGAATATAAGAGGGTCCGCTCGCCCTATAAGGAATCTGCGGGTGCCGATCTAGTTCTGGGCCTGGACGGGGTCCGGGTCCGAAGGGGTCCAGGCGCCTTTGCGGCTCGTACAATATCCACTTCCAAGCTTTTCCCAGTTTTTCTTTTTTTGGTTGAGTATGCAGGGTCATGGGTAGGGGAGTCGGAGTTGTGGTGCGCGTGCAGGGGGGTGGGATAAGGGTAGGCGAGGGGAGCCGCCGGGTTGTGAGAGGCTGGAAGCGGAAGCCGAAGGTGTGTGGTTGATTAACATGGTTCGATTGCAGGTTGGTAGGGATCTGCGAGTGAATGATGGTGGTCTGATGAATTGTGGTGGTGCTCGTGAGTTACGTTGATTCTGCGACTGGCGTGCAGCTCGAGGGGTGAGGAGCGGATAGTAGCGAGAATGGAATGGAAGCAACTCGGAGGATGAAATGAGAATCCTGCAGGTTGATAATGTAGATGCTTGGCATGATGCAAACCTAATCACAGTTCACGACATGGATTTGAAACCCGTAGTAGATGTTGTGGTCAAAGTTTGTAGTATTTTCACGTGTGCTTAGAAACGAGCCTCGAGCTTCATACAGCACCTATCTAAACGCGCAAAACACTCGCTGTCTAGACGAACAACAGACAGAGTGTGTGAACCTCAAACAAAAGGCCGGGTATCCATGTTGTTTTTCCCAATTCCACCCTCGCAATATCCCATCCCAACCTACCTGCCTACGCTCCTTCAAGCCACCTCGTTTTGATCTGTCGCACTAAGACGGCCAGCGTAGAGGTACTCCTGCAGACAAGCTGAATCGAATGGTGAAACCGGCCCACCTCACACCTAGCGAGCACCCGGTGGTAACACAAGCGAGAAAAGTAAACACGGTAGAACAAGTAGAAGCCGTGTTCTGGAAAGGAAAAAACGCCGGAAAGCAAATAGCGCCGAGCCCCCCAAACCCGTCGTAGCCATGACGGCATGCGTCTATTTCGTGCATACAGGCCGTTTTCGTTGGAGAATCGAGAGATGCGGAGGACGAAGATTAAGAGGAGCTCCCGAGATCGACTTTTTATAGAAAGAAGCCGGGAGGATGTAGCCGAGGAAGAAACAGCTCAGTGGGTAAGAGTGAGAAGGATCAAAGTGGCGGAGTGTATTGTAATTTGTGTGATGCTTTGAAGGGATCATGGTCCGAGCTTGCGCTTCTCGCTGCTTGCTGCAATGGCGAGGGCATCGAGGCCGTACGCGGATCCAGGGTACTGAGTGTACTGCGCTGGATCGGGATATGGAGAGCGTTGCGAGTAGTCATGCATGCAGGGATCTACAAGTTGCACGGCCGGGGCGTTGCTGAAGCTCGAAGCTGGGCTGATGGGAGTGCCCTCGTCCATGGCAGATGTGTAGGACAGGGCCGAAGACTGCAGTGGCGCTGGTCTAGGGCGTTTCGCTGTCTCTAGCTTGGGCTTCTGTGCGTCAGTGCCTTTGGAGGCATTTCGGCCCGTTTGGTGCGTCCTGCGGTGCTGCACCATGTTGTCCCTGCGGGTGAAGGCTTTGTTGCACTCGGGACAGTAGGCGTCTTTTTTGCCCGTGTGCTTCTTGGCGTGGCGTGCGGCATGGCCGGACGTAGTGAAGTAGTCGCTGCAGTTGAACTGCTTCGCCATTGGGCAGGGGTAGCTGTTTTTCTTGGAGCGCGGGTTGGCGGGAGACGGCTGCTCGGCGGGCGGAGGTTGAAAGTAGGCCATTTGGGCACCGGTGTTGTAAGGCAGTGGGCCAGCACTCTGCGGGATGGGCGGATAAGCTGACTGAAGCTCCTTTGGCGGCTGGTAGAAGGCCTGGGTAAAGACGGGCGAGGCCATTTGAAGCGAGGGGCCCATGGTCTCGAAGCTGAAGTCGGGCGTGATGGGCGACGGGGTCTGCATGGCGGCCGAGTCGCTCGAGTCACTTCGCACAAGCAGCGGGGTCGGGGGCGAGGACGGCGACGAGGCGTAGCTGGAGGTCCGCGAGCGCAGCGAAAGCGAGGGCAGACGGGCGGACGAGGGCGGTTCGTTGTCGTTCAGGAGGGAGATACGACGGCCTGACGAGTTCTTGCCGTCCATGGTTTGGAGGGTGGTACGGCGCCGAGCAAGCGTCAGTCGAGGAATGTGCTGGACGGCAGCTAGTAAATGAGCAGCGCGGCGTGAGAGATGAGACGCGCAGGGCGGTATGCCGCGCGATGGCTGGATAAATGAGGCCGGTGGAGGTGGTGCGGTGGTGCGGACACGTGAGAGCAGTGCCGTCAGATATGGGGAGTGTCTGTGGGCGGGTTAAGAGGGCGCGAGTATCGGATAGAGCAGGCGGAGAGGGCGTGCAGCGTGAGGCAGGTGTAGGGCATCCGACAGTTAACACGGGGGAAGAGATTCACGCGCGGGAACGGCTCCGGGACAGAGGCAGCTTTATTCTCAGGGCGGGCGGGCGATCCTGGGCGGCGTTGCAGGGTCGGTGATGCCAAAGGGCCAAATTCCATGGCTGGCCTGCGCGCCGCCCTAAAAATGCCATGCCGGTGCGCAAGCCACACCCATGCATGGGCCCCGCTCGATCGTCATGCTCCCACCGCGGAACCCCTCTACCCCAACGGCCGCACAGCACGCTTGCTGACGGCTGGGTCGAGCACCGCGGGTCGTGATGCGCTTTGGCTGCGAGGCTTTCCTGCGGCGCCGGCTCGCTCAGGGCGTCGGCCAGGCTGGCCGTCTGACGCTCTCGCGGCCCGCACTGGGACGCACAACGACTGACGATGGCCGCTGACCTGGCAGCTGCTGCAATTTCGCGCGCAGATCTGACGGCGCTAGTGACTGTGCTCGATCGCGATCGATCAGGCCCACGACGCGCTCACCACCACCCACCACGCATTCCTGCGAAACCGGCGGCGGCTGGCGAGCAGCTCCTGGTTCTGAGGCAGCCGGCCCTGACACCTGCACCTCGCTCGCGCAACCGGCGCCGGCGCTGCATGCACCGCAACGAGGGCAGCGAGGGGCGCGTCTCAGGCTTCACGAGCGCCACAGCTGTTGCACTGAGGACGGGCGTCTGCGGCCCTGCCCTGGTGGGACCAGAGCCAGCGGCCCAAGCAGACTCCGCAGTGCAACCGGAGGAGGCACCGACGAAGCCACCTGGCAGGCCACCATTGTGCCAGTGTGCCAGTGCTCGCGATTTGCTGGCGGCACAGGGTTCAAACAGGGCACGGCGGAGCTGCTCCGTCACATCAGGGTACAAGGGGGTAACCTGAGCGGGCTGCCGCCCTCCCTGCTAGCGCGGGCGTGGCGATAGCCATAAGCAGCATATTATAAATCCACAGAAAACACCAGAATACACCAGACTAGCTAGATAATATAAAATAACGGCAGGGGGGCCTTGTATTTTGTATAAAAAAATGCCGAATCTTGTTCGCCGGCAGCGTGGCCACCACCCTGTTCAATATCCTATTCTTCGAGATCGAGGCACCCGTCTCTCCTACCGCGAGCGTGATATTTCATATACCCTCTCTCGATACGCCGGTTGGAAACACTATGAGATTGCCGATTCCCTTGGTGTCCCTCGCAGAACTGTATCAAATTCCCTTTCTCTCCAGAAATGGACCCCTCAAAAGCAGAGAGGAAGGAAGCCGAATATTGATACTCCAACTCGACAGCGCCTTATTGCTCGGGCCAAGCTTGATGCCGTCCACCGAAGGAAGCCGTTGGAGGAGATTGCAATGCTAGAGGGGGTCTCTGCCTGCAAGCGATCCTTATATAAGGCGTTTGAAAAAGAGGGCTATTTCCGGCGTATTGCAACAGAGAAGCCCCTTATTACACCCGAACAACGAGAAGCCAGGCTAAGATGGGCTTATTCTCATCTTAAATAGACGCCTGAAATGTGGGCAGCGGTTATATGGACCGATGAGGCGTCCATTCGAACCGGTGGAGGCCAGATTTTTGTTACCAGAAGCGCCGAGGAGAAATACGATATTGATTGCTGTGTCCCTAAATTTAGGGGATATTCTAGCTGGATGATTCATGGCAGCATCTCCCATGGGAATAAGGGACCTTTGGTTGTTTTTAAAAAGGACTGGTCAATCGAGCTGGGATACAAGAGAAAGACGATAAATGGCGACGTCTACCGTACCTATATATGCCCCAATATCAAGACTTTTGCATGGGAATTATGGCAGACACTACGACACCAGCCTATTCTTGTGGAGGATAATGCCTCAATTCACTCAGCAAAAGCAACGCGCCTGGCCTGGGAACAGAACGGCATGCTCGTAATGGAATGGCCGGCGAATTCCCCTGATTTGAATCCAATTGAGAACGTTTGGCGGCTGTTGAAGGGGAGAATACAACGCCGGTTCCCTACAACAAAGGAGGAAGTACGGCAGTACGCTGAGGAAGAATGGGAGAAGCTTGAACCGGAAGAATTTGAAAAGTATACTGGCAATATGAGGGAGCGCTGCTTGGCTGTAATTGCTGCAGATGGCGGCCCAACGAAATATTAGTTATTAGTTACTGAATAAGCACTGTTTTCATGTGGCGATGTGGCAATTATAAGCACTAACGGAAGGCGCTTGCAGGGAGGGCGGCAGCCCGCTCAGGTTACCCCCTTGTAACGAGGATGCGGAGCGTCACCGCTTGGGGAGAAGCGGTCGGCTCGGCTGGCCCAGGCGCCAGGGGGAGCAGCCTCTCGCGGCCGACGGCCTGCGATGGCGGAGCCCTGCAACGCCCTGGATCACGCGCGATTCTAGATTCCCCACGGATTTCTCGATCACCTCCTCGAGTCCATCGCCCTGCCGTGATGTCACCGCCAAGCGGCCCGAGACGCTGCGCTCCACGAGCCACACTGCGCCAGCCGCACCTCCACCTGGCCTTTCCAGAAGCCAGCACTGTGCCAGCCGTCCCGACTGTCCATGCGCCCCTTGCGTCCCTGCCGTCGCGACAACTCCAATCGCGATCGCGCTGCTTCGCTGTCCCCGGCGCTCGACGCCCAGCAGCGCATCCCTCGAGATTTCCGTCAGCCGACCGCCTCTTCGCATCGCTGTGTCGTGAATCGTGTTTCTGCAGCAGAACGCACCCGTCCGCATCCGGCTGGCGGGACACGCCTTAGACCCGCCGTGTGCGCCCCTGCCACCCTTTTCATGCAGGGTGCCCAGGCCGAGCCCACCATGGAGCAATGACGTCCTCCTATCACGTCGCCAGGAGCCCACTCCGAAAGGCTTCATTGTCATGATCACGCCTCAGAAGTGCTAGCCCCAGCGCAACAGCAGCCGAAGCCGCCCGGGGGCCAGCGCCTCCCCCGTTGCACTCCCGCCCGGAAACCTGCCCGCGCGCAATTCCTGTTTCCTGGGTTCCAAGCCCGTCTAGAACGGCCTTTGCTCTCCACCACCTGCGCCTTCCTTGCGGCGATCAAAATGTGCACTATTCGTCCTCAAACAGCGAACTGTTCACGAACCCTGATTTCCACCACCGCACCACTCGTCCACCACGGGCATACTCCGTAGTCGAGTGCGGGATCCTTGAAACGGCCGCGAAGGTACCAGCATCCTCGCTGTTGGGTACAGCGATCGTTAGCGATTCAATTTTCTCCGATTAGCTCAGTTTCACCATTTCTCTCGATGAGGGCGTTTTCACCTTGCTGGAAACACTTTCGTGGCGGTACTTTTCCATCGTCATTCCGCTCACCGTCTTCTCAAAAGCCATTAGGACCCTTATCCACGGTCCCTATGACGAAGGGTCCAAGCCGTCTATCAGGGTCCTCCTCCGCGGCCCGCCATAATCTTCCAGATGATTCGTCAGCCACAGCGGGCCGTGTACACGTGAGTCTACTCCCAGATGCACTACAGGGGCCAAAGGCCAATCGGAGAGTGCGACTTTGCTGCATCTAGCCAATAACTCTGCCTCTAGATAACGCCCCGAGAACTGCGGGGTCTTGTGTGTCTACTGACCATAATCGGCATCTCACGATGGGTAGCAGCGGGCGTATTACGGTTGCGCTTCTCAGCCTGCCGCTTTTTAGGTTTGCCTGTGTATCAATCGCCTGCCGATGCAGGGCTCGCGGATAATCACTTCCCCGAGATTCGCGATTTGGACCTAGAGACCTGCGTATTGAGACCTACATCCGGCTGGTTGGCCCCTGGAATCCTCGACGACATCGTTGCTAACTCGGTTTGCCACGCCGCGTTGCGAAAGACCATAGACACTCCTCGTGGGCGCCTCTTTGATGCTACTCCTCTGCCCGCGCTTCACGCTGTCAGGTTATTGCTTGCAGCTTTCCTTAATCTGACATCACGATTCGTAAGTACATTGATTGAAGGGATTTCTTGTCATGGTTTTCTTCCTCATCTCTCGTCTGCAAGGTTCTAAAGATCAGACTTGTCGAACGTTTCATCCCAATTCTTCGCTCTTTCCAAAAGATCCAACTTCAGCATTGACGACTTTTCATCAATCCTCACATTTATTCGAGCCATGCCCCTCTAGCCTCATGATCATAACGTCGCGCTCCCACTGACCAATCATGTCCTTCTCCCACTGCAAACCTTCTCTCCCCAGATCTTCAGCATTTTCAGTTTCGTACTAGATACCAGTTCAACTCTGCCGGTCCATCTCATCGATCGTTTCACGAACGAAATGCTCAGTAGCTCCAAGTCTATGAGAACTCGAAGGTTTGGGTGCTTGGATCCGTAAACCCCCACTCACAATCTATGCGCGAAGGCTGGAAGCTACAGCGCCAGGACTAAACTTTGCCCACTCCTGCTCACCACTATCTGAGGTCCTTCGTTTCATTATCAAGTATTCGGATAAGATGTAAAGGTCAAAACAATGCATATGAGAGCGGCCCCAAATACTTCTGATGGACCTATTTCACCGTTTCGTGCGGGGTAGCCCAGCATCTCATCAGAAATGGTTGGTGCCTCTACAATGGAATGGAGTAGTGCCAATTAAAGAGGCTTGAAACACTACATCATGTCCATTGCAATGTGGTGCGCAGTGAGGGTCATCGGTGGACAGTGATTGATTATGCGCTGATGAAAATTGTCCCAGTCTAATAATCCATGCTACTTACCAACCTTCCAACCCGCCGCAAACCTCCACTAACAACCTATGCTAACCCCCAGCATCTCGGCATTATGAGGACCACCCACTACATTAGTGGTAGCGGATACCAGCAACCCTCGCTTGAGAAACCTTCCCGCACATTGCTCGTCGGGCCCGCTGCGCTGTTTGCACCATTGAGATTGGAGAAAACTGTTGTTGAACGCTCCAACACACCTCCACCGCTCTCCGCTCGCCGCTCGCACGCCATGAGAGGGAGGGTGCTGAATGTTTTTTGACGGTCCCCATGGCATGGCGGTGGCCACGGACGTTGCAACAAGCCCCCCGACCAACTCGCTGCGGCAGAGTCGATCGCGTGGATTCGAGGCTTTATAGCCTGCCCCACGACGGCGAAACGTGGCTGTCACCTGATTTGGCACCGTCCACCGCCACGCAAAGTACAGTACCAGGCGGTGGTGTCAGCGGCGTTAGAGGGCCCGTGACGCCCTCGTGACGGCGAGTTTCTTCGGGTGTAAGACTCCTTCCGCACCACGACCTTTTTTTTTCTTTACGACAAGGAGGAGGAAGAAGGGGGAGAGACTGGGATGGATTCGAAACTTTGCTGTCATTCTTTTGTCATGGCTGCATCGGGCGTGTGGGGGTTTGGCATCAACAACTGCAGGCCGCACTAGACATGGAGGGTTCGGAATCCTACTTGTCGACAAGCAATGGCGCTGGCGAGGGAGGAGGGGAGGTGGAGGTAAAACCAATTGAGGCGCCAACGCGATGGGGCGCGATGAAGTGGAGTGAGAAAGTGTTGCCATCAACATCTGAAATGTCCCTTTCTTATGGGTGCGGGTGGGAAGCGGTGGTTGGTGGTTGGCGGGGCTGTGATGATGAGCAGTCGAAGGGGGAGATTGTGATGTGGTTCAGCGACTTTGGGAGATAGGTAGCGGTATGAGATACGAATGATCGTGACCAGTAGTTTAGTAATGTCACTCTGCACTATACACCAGCATCACTGAGGTCGTTCATACTCCCCCAACATCCCACCATTGCAACTTCGAGAGCCGTAGTTGATCGAGTCCAACGCCCACGCACCATAAAGACCGTATCATGGAAGGTTTTACAGATCCACTTCCAGGCACGACCTGGACATGGTTTCTCGGTCTTTGTAGGTTTTGAGACCATGGCTCCCATCCCCCACTCTGGGCTGAATCGCCGTCCCCTTCTCCCTCCTTGCAGAAGGAGTCGTAGGTCCGGAGGTCTTATACCCTCCTCTCCAGTGCTCGCCACGAGATGAGCACGTGACACCTGTCGCCGCTGGCTCGCGGGCAGTGGGAGTAAGTAGGAGGTAGTTAACGGCGAAGGTGGCTGGCGGTCACGTGCCACGCATGTGGCACTAGTTTCAGGTAAAGGCTTTCAGCTGTTTAGTGGAAGGGGAAGGAGAGGTGTAAAATTTCGCAACATCGAGCACATGGACGTTTAAACAGAATTGGCAGCTTCGCCCAATGGTGTCTCCGGGGAGGTCGGGGGGATTGAACCCTCAGAGCTCCGACCTCATGGAGTGGAGGCCCAGAGGTGTCGGTGGTGTGTGCGCGCTTTTCTCAAGATATGCTGATGACGAGCATTATCATCGCTCGATGCTGGCTAGAAATAGAGATAGGACGATACCCAACTCCATCGCCTCCTCGAGCTGCGTGAAGACATCGTCATCAATGCCATCGCATTCTTTCCTTCTCCGAGGCAGCAGCTAGTCAACACCGTGGATTGCACGAAATAAACCAGCACCACTCATGAGATGTTTTTACAGTTCGGTTGCGAATCACCCTGAACCGCCGCGATGCCGCTAGAGACCGGAAGTCCTTCGTATGCGCATAGGGGCCGCGTTTTTAGAGCCTGGAGGCTTGTTACGCGCCACAGTATTTGCGTGGGCTACGTGGCTCGCGTGACGACGCGTCCCTTACCTAAGGGAGGCTGCAGGATGCCTGTTGTTGGTAACTAAACGGGCGAGTCTGGTCGCTATTCTAATGCGGCATGTTGCTTTGCAAGATCCCAGATCTCGTTCACGCAAGCCTACGACATCGACTAACCCTACGGTACATAAGACTATACCGATTTTATAGCAAAAGCAGTCGATTAGGCTAATGGGTAGTACTATGAGAGAAGGGTCTACCCATAGCAGAGCAATAGTAGCAAACTTAGTCTAAGTAGTCCACGCCATGGCGTATAATAGACTGCTGGGCCTGGAGACCTTGCGTCGTGGTCTGTATTTAGTTTCTTGCTGGATAGCTTTTCTTCTCTCGCTTATGTGCTGCTCGTGTCTTACTTATCATATTGACTTGCATGAAGGGGAGAGAAGGGAAGAGAGGGAAAGAGAAAGAGCGAAAGGGAGAAGGGAGAGTCGCAAGTTACCTTCCTCCCCGGTGCCAGTCACGAGCTGGGCATGTGACACGCGTTGCCATTGATTCGCGAGCTGTAGGAGGCCGACCATTTCCGGAGGTAGTCTCGTAGCCTCAGGAGAACACTCACCCTGCGTGCCCGCATTGCGGCCCAGCCACGTGGTCAGCTTCTCGTCCGTTCTAGCGAGCGTGCGTGCAGAAGTCGTCCTAGGCCCGCTTCGCGCATGGCTTTGAGGCCGCCGCCAGGTCATAGGTCGAGCGTGCCGCCTTGCGAGCGAATGCCCAGCGTGGTCCCGGCTTCGAAGATGGCGCCGCAGAGGCTAGCACTTATGATGGCGATGTTGAAGGGGGACATTGTAGTGAGAGTCTTATTTGGAGGAAAAGAGAATGGAATAGACGGGAAGATGAAGGAAGAAGAAAAGCGTGGGTGAGTTTTGCTAGTCACAAGAAACAATGGGAATCGGAAACGGAAAGGCTTCGTGATCTTTTGTGGTCAAGTATAGAAGACTTCGACGGCTCGTGCACGCTGACACCTCGTGCACGCCTCACCAAGAAATCCACGGCTCACAACATGAAGCTTTTCAACACAACACAACGAGATCTATACACAGAAATCAAGGAGGAGAGGCAACTAGGGTCGCTCTTTCATTCTATTGTAATTATAGAGTTGGCATATCGCTTGGGGGTGATGCGCAATCGCTGAGGCCGGCCAGAAGCTGATTTGGCTACCCCATCTTCAATACCACAATTCTGCTCAACAGTAGGCTCCTCAGGAATAGTGAATACAACCTTCTTAACCTTCTGCCTCTGCTGCATTGCCTGCATCCCCGCTTTGAGCTGTTGCTCCACCTCACGTGCCTCACGTGCCTCCTCCATCTGTTGCCCTTTAAGAACCTCTGCATCGTTCTTTTGCTTTTTTGTGATAGCCCTCTGATTACGGTTCCGCTCCAGATTTCTCTCCTTCTCTTCCTTAGCTAGTTGCTTCTGTACCTTCTCCTCTGCCTTGGAAGCTATATCACGTGCCTTTATATCTTCCTTTTCTTAGAGAAGGTCTCTTGCTTGGCGCACCTTAGTGGGTGACTAAAACATAGCACCACCACCTTCTTAAGCCCCCAATTGTGCAAAGAGAGGTACCTGCCGCTTCCTCTTCTTCTGCTTATTCTTTATAGTTTCTTAATAGCCTCTAATACGGCTTTCTAACAAGATATTAGTTGCTGCAAGCTTGGTAACTCCTTAAGCAAGCGCACGCACCTCTTTTTTAATATTATCCACTTTTAAATTAATAAGATTAATCACCATTTTCCGGAGGCGTTTCTTAATGCTCTTCTAATCGCCAGGGCCTAGTTCTGCACCGTCAGACCGGCTAGAAGTTGGGCGCTCAGCATCCTCTGGCACCGGTTCCTGCTTGGTGTTGAAGAGGTTTAAAATGATATTAGGATCCTATGGAATAATGCCAGTCTTTCTCCACCCACTAGCTATATTGTCAGGCGTTATGGCCTTTGCATTGGCAATCTAGAAGGTCCTGAAGAAGTCTCTCTTTATAAAGCGTGATAGGCCCTTACTTTTATAAAGGTAGGCGTCCAATTCATTAGAATAGTAACGAGCGAGCGGTGTAAAGAAAGAGACGTCTAATGGCTGTAGCCGGTGAGTTAAGTGAGGAGGATAGATGCAGAGAAGAATCCTGTGAGTATTACAATACTTAATAAACTTTATATTAATATAAGAGCCGTGGCTATTAATAATTAATAGACGCCAGTCTCTTCTATTGTGTGCCTTTGCCTTTGTCTCTCGGTCGAATACAGTAGTTAACTAAGCGTAGCCGAGGCTGTTATTGGTCCATCCTGTTGGTGAGGATATGAAGAAGCAGGAGTGTTCGTCCGGGTTGAAATCCTGGAGCCATGTGTCTTGTATATCTTTGGAAACAGCTTAATAGATAAGGGCAGGAGAGAGCACTGTTCTGTTGCCACAGATAGCTGCTATTACTGTAATCCACTCTCTATTGCCATCCTGCATGATATAGGAGAGCCGTCCTGAATCGTACGCTTTCCTGCTGAACACCCTCTTTATTTTTTGAAGATATCTAATGAGAAATCCTTTCTTATCTATATTGTAGGTGTTCTGAGGTAGAACACCATACTCTGTTAGCTTTCTTCCTAGCATCTCAAAATACATGTTGTAATACAGCGCCGAATTAGCCCTTTTCCTTGCTTTGTCGATGGGGTTGAGGTATGCTGATTTGAGGTGTTTTTCGTTGCGTTTGACCCATCGAGAAACCCAATTTCCACCGGGCCTTTTGCCAGCAATCTCTTGAGCTATATTGCGCACCATAGCTTGTGTTGGAGGAAGCCCACGCTCTGAGAGGTCATTGATATACTTGATAAGAGCCCGAGTCTGCCCTGGCTTGAGTAGCTGTTGAGAATTGTAGCTATTCTCTTTGGAAGTAGTCTTTCCCCGGTGGCGCTTAGAAAGGGTGCTTCTGTTAACACCATGCTCAGTAGCGACAT